GTTTCTGGTCAGGCCTGTCTGTTTAGCAAGCATGATTTTCTCTGAATCCTTTGGGTAGCTGGTCAAAACCAAATTCAGGAAGGGTTAGTGAACCAAAGTTCTTGGTATTTTGCAAGTAAAATAGGTACAATAAGGATCAAAGCACATACGGGTGGAGAAAATGCTCAAAAAGCCAAGCACGAAGGATTGAAACAGAGCTCTCTGGAAGCCCTCTTTGAGGCCTCCAAGCATTTCGCATCACACCAAGTTGCTGAAGAGCTCTTTGTTGTCTGAGTTGATGATCCACATAGCGGAGACGAGGTATTGCTCCTCCTTGATTGTTTGATGAATTTTCTTGCTCTCCAAGGCTTCTCTGAATCAGTTGAATTTGGCCACTGATTGCATCATGCAAACAGCGGAAGTGGCGGGAAATTGTCTGTAGGGCAAGTGCAGTGTATGGTTTAGCTGCACCAGAACCAGCTACGAAGTCGAAAGAAGACACCACAATTTTCATTTGATGGTAATATTGCCTGTATCTTCTATCAACCTATAACAAAAGCATGACCATTAGTAATCTTCCAAAACAGGTAAAGCTCAACTAAAACACATATAAGATAGTTTCCAAGATGTGATAAAGAAGAGAATAATTCAATCAAAGAAAAGCAGCCACCAAGAAAAGTGAAAGCTAAATCAAACAAGAAGCACTACAAAGGCAGGCACGCCAGTGAAAGAAATTATTCAAACCAAATATAATTAGTAAAAGGAAATGTATGGCACAATGGAAGCGGATGTTCACCTCATCCAGCATGGACAAGAGTTTTGTCTTCTTGTTCTGCAAATCTTGTCGTTCTGCAGGTGATATCTCAGAAGAGGAGTTGTTAACTGACTCACTAGGTTCTGATGACATCCCATTGGATGATTTGGGTTGAGAGCTTATATTTTTATCCAAATCACGCTGTTTCAAAGCTTTTCGTATATTAATCACTTCATCAAGCAACTCTTGAGCCACCCTGAGATATTTGGAGCTTGAAATAGTATTTGCAAAACCTGACTCAAATTGATATGTATCAGAATGCATCTGTTTGTGACTTATTGAGCCCTGAGGGTTGGACAAAGCGTCTGTTTCAAATGCATCATTGTTGCCTCCAGGAAAGCCACATTGCACGCCATCAGAAAATTTCAACTCCTTACTTTTTTTGCTTTCATCACCAGTACAAGGAATTGTCCCCTTTCCTGAAAATGGAAGATGACCACTAAAGAACGAAGAATAACCCTGGTATTGATAATGAAATGGAGGTATGGAAACTCCAGAAGATATCCGTGAGCCAAGACTTAGAGATAGTCCCTGAGATTGAGAACTCTGTTCACCATCTAGAACACTCCTTGGAATTACAGGGGGATCTCCTGCTACAGGGTTGCATAATGAATTGCTTGTTGTAATGTTTAACTGCCCATCAACAGCTTGCAAACTCACAGTGTCATTTGAGGGTGGAATGAATGACATTTCATTTCTACCACCAATAGATGGAATTTGAACACAGTTCTGTAGAGACAAAGAACTCCCAGACAAGATTTCTGAGAATGCCCCAGCAGACGAAGCTTGGTTCAGATACATTGAGTTACCAGGAAGGGAAGATGATCCAAGATAAGAGTCAGGCTTTTGGTCCCCCAGATATGTAGTTGATAAATTGTCTCTTTGATAGCTAAAAGTTGGATAATATGTAGCCATAATTTGCTTCCTTATGTTTAGCAGGAAAGAAATGATAAAGCATTACCAGTCTCCACAAATCAAATGATTGCTAAAAAAGGGGTACCTCCCAATAAAACAGTGATCAGCTAATAGATCCTGATAAAACAAAAACATAATAACATATATCAGAGATCTTTCAAAGTCCCAAATTTATCAACAAATCCAAAGATAGATCATTGCATCATTATTCTTAGCTCATGTAAACTCTGCCAAAGAATTTAGAATCAAAAGAGCAGAAGCACCACAACAGCCATGTGAAAATGACATGTTGCCCCATGGCATGAAAGTGCAGTAACAAGGTCAGTTACTTAAGTTTTAAAGCACATTAAGCAGAATCAACCGTGAGAAATTCCCAACAAAGCAAAATCCAAATTTCTACCAAATGACTTGTTTTGCATCTAGACACTTCTCCCTCAAAAGAGAAAATGGAAAAGCTGAGAATAGTTTAATACTAACAAATAAGCAAAAGAATAATTGCCCAAAACTGCATTAAACCACAACCCAGGATTAACCAAAATAGTTTTTCAACAACTCCACAAGGCACACCAAACATGTAAATTCAGTAAAACCGAAAATTATTTATTTTTTCTGGGAATATTTCTTTTTCTTCTATTTTAAGCTTCCTTTTTATCTTTTTATGAAGGCCATCCCTTAGGTCATGTTTAGATTCTACTATCTTGCATCAATTCAATTAAGAAACAGCAAAATCCTACCCAAGCTTAAATTCAGATATTCTTCGGAGGGTAAAGGAATCAGGTAATCATAGATATCAAAAGGTAAGTCATAATCATTTAAGGGCAGGAAATTCACAGGTTTAAAGGAAAACGAGAGAAAAAAAAAAAAAAACAAGAAGTACGACTTTTCTTTTTGGCTTTTCGCTCTATCACATTCTTCCTATCATCATCACTATCAGTCTATCACCATCATCATGAAATACCCACTGGTACTGAAAACAGAACCATCACAGTCAAACTCAGAGAAACATTTTCATTGCCAAACCCCCTCATCCCCTTCTTTTCTATTATAAACCAACTAAAAGAAAACATAATAAACAAAAACAAAAAACAAATTACCAATACCCAGAAGAAGCTCAAAACCCCATTTAATCCCACAAACCCCTAAAGCAGAAGCTTTGAAACTGTCTTCTTTTCAGCATCATCATGCACGCTGGGTACTAAAACTCAGCCCCAAAAGCTAAAAACAATTTCTTTTTACCGTATGACAGTCTTCAATCAATCAATCATTACAGCTCTCAGAAAACAAAGCAAAAGGATGAAGAGAATGAGAAAAAATAAATTAAAAATTAAAAAAAAAGGTAGAGGTGAATTACCTGAAAGCCCCCAAAAGAGATGCTGCGCCTCTTGCGGGGAGCAGAAAGAAAGAAACTTGAAAGCAGCAAGACAAAAACCAATCCCAAGAGATATAATCCCAAACGTAACCAACCTCCTTATCATTGGAACATTGACACCAACCCAAGAAACAATATTAAATTACTCCACTCAATACAAATAAAAAAATATCTATTGACGACAACAACTGTAATATTTTATTCTAACAAATGATGATGATAATAAGGAAGAAGAATACTAAAGAACAAACAGTTCCCCTCGTCAATCCTTCCAGGAATCTCACGTGTAACAAAAAAAACGAGACAAAAACAAAGGGGAAAGCTGGGTTGAAGCCCTTTTTAATGCTATTTTATTCTTTTTGGGAAAAAATTAGAAAGTTGTTCGAAGGCGAGGGAGGCAAAATGGAAACAAAACCAAACAAAAGAAAAAAGTGGGAAGCTGCTGTATGGTGGGTGTTGTTTGATTCATTCATTCATTGCTTAAGAGAGTTCAAAAGCTAACTACCAGTTGGTAGACCTATTACCCGCCCTTAAGCCTCCTTTTAAAGCATAAAAATGGTGTCTTTACCTTCTCACTTCTCTCTCTCTCTTTCTGTTGCTTTTCTAAAGTGTAGGAAGCATCTAAAGCTATCCCATTGGTCGATTCATGGTTGGGTTTTTCTTTAAAAAAATAACAAAATTATAAAAATAAAATAAAAGAAATTGAGAATGTGATTGATAGACTAATATTAGGGTGCAGAAGAGAGGGGAGAGAGTTAGCTGTACTTTGCAGTTGGTGAGAGTGACAAACTCACACGTTATATCCACGCGTATACTTCCATACGCTAGCGGCTAACGGCTAACTAAACAAATTTTTCTTCTTTTTTATATATAATTTTGGTAGGTGATTGAGTGTTTATGTGTCATTTTAAGAACATGAATCATGGGATTCTATCTAATTCTCGACCAACCTTTTTAAAAGCTGAAAATTATTTCTAGTCAAAAAGGAAAAAAAATGAAAAATACCAACAATTAGTATATAAATATGAATATGTGTATATCTAATGTATTAAATAATTATAAATAATTTAGTGTATGAAATGTTTGTTGCTTTTTAAAAGTGAAAAGAAAGGAAAACCCAAACTCTTCTCCTTTGTTTATGTTTTATATGACAAATAAATAAATTTTGCTTGAAATATAAGGGAAAATTTTCTTCTCTTCGCAATCAATGAACAAAACTTTTCAAAGTGAAATTAAATACCCAATAAAGATTATACAATGTATTGAATATATATAACTTGAAACTCCATATAATTGATGCAATTGCTTTACAAAAAAGGAAGTGGGGGGATGTGGTTGGGTTAACAAAAGGAATAGAATATTAGGCACACACAATGTGTTGCGCATGTTTCATGTACCCTGTTGTTGTTTTTTTTTTCATTGGATTCTAACTTGAATGGGCATATGTATATTTTTTAATCTATGGTTTTCTGACAAAGACCAAACCTACTAATTTTTTATTTTGGGAATAAAGGATATGGGATTATTTGGAAAAATTCCACACAATTATTGGATATAATCCTTAGAAAGAGCATATTTTTTCTTGTTGCTTAGGTTGAAGATTCCATTGGATGCAATTAGCAAAAGAATAAAATAAAAAAAAATATTTACAACTTGGAAGCTTGGAAATTGGAATATTTGGCCGAATGGGACGAAAAACAGAATAGTACCAACCAAATGGGTTGAATATGGGCCTATAAAATTAGCCCAGGCCTGCAATGAAGACTAGCCCATGACCCGTAAAGAAGTGTTCAGGTTGGGCTAGCCATAGAGCCCGCTAAGTTCAAATGAAACGACGTCGTAGCAAAGCTAAAAATCGGGGGCGTTTAGTGAAACCGCTATAAACCACAAAATTTGAAAAAAAGAAAAGAAAAGAAAAGGTATTTGAAAATTGAAGGTTCCAGCTCTGAAATCTAGCAAAAGAGTACTTCATCATGAACTTATGTTTCTGTTCTTTGATTCGTACTTCGCCTTTGATTTACGACTCCAATTTTCCATGGAATTTGAATCTCAACCGCTCAAGTTATCCTATCGGTTTTTCTGTACACGGAAATAGCAGGAATCTTGTTGCGGGAGTTGTTCAACATGGACTCGAAGTCAATAACATTTCTTTGCCGAGTCCGACAATCGAGGCCGAGGAAGAAAAGGAAGTGGTTCGTGAACTCGTTAATGGAGCCGCCGGCGCTGAATTGGTGGAACATAAACCGAAACCAGTGAGAGTTAGGAAGAAGAGAGCTGGTGATGATGATAGTGATGATGAGAGCTTTGAGGATAGGTTCAAGCTACGAAATGGGAAGGAGGTAATTTTTTTTTGTATTTATCAGCTCAAATTTTGGGGAAAAACTTGGAAACTTAATAATTTATTTATTTTGATATTTTTGAAGGTTTTTGAAGAGAAAGCTTATTTAGTGGGCGTGGAGAGAAAAGGCGAGACTTTGGGTTCGTTTGGCATCGAGGAGTCGCTTAAGGAGCTGGCTCAGCTGGCCGACACTGCGGGGCTCATGGTCGTTGGTTCAACTTATCAAAAGTAAGAAGTTTTTTCAAATGTTTGGTCGCAAAATCAAATTGCGTTTTATTTTCTAAGCTTAAAGTTGTCTTATTTTATGGTATTTTACTATGCAGATTATCTTCTCCCAACCCGAGGACATACATAGGATCAGGAAAGGTTGCAGAAATTAAGAGCGCAATTCATGCTTTTGGGGTTGAGACTGTAATTTTTGATGATGAGCTCTCACCGGGGTAAGGTTTGTAATAATTTTCTTAGTTTTCATCGTTTCTTGCTTAGAGTGTTCTAATGGGGAAAAATATTATTTGGGAGGTTAAGTATGTGGACCTTATGAAATTGACATGAAACCTTCATAATTTAATACAATCTCTCATCTGGGTCTGTTATCAAATTTCAGGCAATTGCGCAATTTGGAAAAGGCTTTCGGTGGGGATGTTAGAGTTTGTGATCGAACTGCTCTTATCCTAGATATCTTTAACCAGAGAGCAGCAACACATGAAGCAGCTTTGCAGGCAAGTTCAGATTGTGCTTCTATTCCTTCTATAAATGAAAAGAGAGAGGTCATAGCTGATATTGGATTGAAGTTGGTAAAATCTTTGTGTACTGAAAATAAGCAAAAGAAGAAATAATCTATATATTTGTTACTCAAGTTATGGGGCTTTCTAGGTTGCATTGGCTCAAATGGAATACCAATTGCCACGTCTTACTAGAATGTGGACTCACCTTGAGCGTCAAGCTGGAGGAAAGGTGAAGGGTATGGGTGAGAAACAAATTGAAGTGGACAAGCGTATCTTACGTACTCAAGTAAGCAACAATTGTTTTTCCAATTTTTTACAGATAAATATCTGCTACTATAGAAACTCAAACTTGCATAGATACTTGGTGCAAACTGGTGACCTTCTCTAATACTTTTGAACTGCAAAGCTGTTGTTCCCATGACTTAACTTATTTGCTTTGCTAGATTGGGGTTCTCAAAAAAGAGCTTGAATCCGTTCGAAAACATCGAAAACAATACAGAAACCGCCGGTTTTCTGTACCTGTTCCTGTAGTATCTTTGGTGAGTAGATAGCTTGGTTTTTCAATTTTTAATACAAGGCCAGTTTCTTTTGTTGCTTTCTGTTTCTGGACTCATAAGCTGTTTGAAAACATTGTAGGTTGGATACACTAATGCTGGCAAGAGTACACTTTTAAATCAATTGACTGGTGCTAATGTTCTATCTGAGGACCGACTCTTTGCAACCCTTGATCCAACAACAAGAAGGGTTCAGGTCAGTCAAATATGTTGGGAAAACCTATTGTACAGCTTGGTTTCAAGCTAGTCTGTTCTTTTTATGTAATTGAGTAGTTAGAGAAGGAGATTTAAATAAAATAAAGTTGTCCAGGCAATAGCTAGAAATTTTCTGTGTCTAAATCCATACCATTACCATGTGCATTTTTGTTTTTCACTATCTAGAGCAGAAGGCAACTATGTATTGCTAGAAAAGAATTGAGAGATTGAAGAAGTCATGTAGCATGATTTAGGTCTACCAACTTTAGCTTTATACACCTGTGTCAAATACGTGCTTTCTGCACCAAATCAGTTTATAAGTATCTGACATTGAATTGAGTATGTGCAGATTTGTTATTGATTGTCATCAGTAACATGATAATCTTGTTTCTGTTGTGTGCTGTCCAGATGAAAAATGGAAGCGAATTTCTTCTTACAGACACTGTTGGTTTCATCCAAAAGTTGCCAACTACCCTGGTAAGGCCCCTCACTTTTGGAAATGAGTGTTTGGAGGATCTCCTCTATGTATGGAGGAGAGTGCCTGCTGATTTTGAGTACTTTATGTGCAATTAATTCACTGTGAAACATGTTTCTATTGTATATTTAATACCAAATTCTACATTGAGTGGAGCCCAAAAACACATGCCATTTCTGTCTAATGATTGCTTCATACAGGTTGCTGCCTTCAGAGCAACATTGGAGGAGATATCAGAGTCTTCTCTTCTAGTGCATGTGGTGGACATCAGGTAATATTTTCAAGCTGTGGGCTATCTCTAGTTTTGTTTTTTCATTTTTATTTCTCTCTCTCTCTCTCTCTCTCTCTCAAATCTATCAACTTGCAATGCTTTCTATGAAGCTCAGCCATCCCCTAGCAGAGCAGCAGATAGATGCTGTGGAAGAAGTTCTTTCAGAACTAGATGTGTCTGCAATTCCAAGATTAATGGTCTGGAACAAGGTAATAGAGATATTCTCTATCTCTGAGTTATTAAGAATTAAAACATGAAAAATGAAACAATTTGACCTATTGCCCTCTGTGTACTTGTGATCTGTATAATCTGGCTTGATATATTTATGCTTGAATTCCTAATTATTGGAGGCATTGAGCTTATCTGTGATGTTGATGATATAATATTATTTCGTTTGTGCATTTTTTTAAGTTTTCCTTTTTGTAACATGAACTAAAGGTTGAAAATCTCTAAATGCTGCTACTTATGGCAGGTTGATAGGGTTAGTGATCCACAAAGAATCAAGTTGGAAGCAGAGAGAAGTGAAGATGTTGTTTGTGTATCTGCTTTGACTGGTGATGGCTTACAGGAATTCTGCAATGCGGTGCAAGAAAAGTTGAAGGTACTAAATTGATTTCAATGTTTAAATGTCCTTGAAACTTGGAGATAGTTGATTCTGTTCATTCCTGAATTTGGACTCTGTTTTACTTAGTAAGGAAATGTTCTTTGGAATAGGATTCAATGGTTCCAGTGGAAGCCTTAGTCCCGTTTGACAAAGGAGAGCTTCTCAGTTCCATACATCAGGTTGGAATGGTGGAGAAAACTGTAAGTATTACCTAAATGTTAAGCGAATCTAATTTTCATTCATTCATAATGAGAACTAATTGTGCTGTTGTTCTGTAATTCCTCATTTTTGCAGGAATATACTGAGAATGGTACATTGGTCAAGGCATTTGTCCCCCTTCGATTTGCTAGGCTGCTTACCCCAATGAGGCAGCTGTGTAAATCATAACTTTAACTTTCTCGAATGTGTCGTGACCTTTTTTAACACTTAGTGCCATCATAAAATACATCATGTATTTGTTGACCCAAAAGCAATTACCTTCAATGAATTTGTAAGGAGAGGGAAAAAAATGCTGAAGGAGAGAGAAAGGAGAATGGGGAGACTGAACAGTGATTGTTCAGGAGACCAGTGTATATAGAAGCCAAACTTTGTACAGTTGTATCTTTAAAAGATGTAATAGATCTTGACAGCAATGAAAGGAATTCTAATTCTCTTCCAGAATACAATTTCAACTTCATGCGTAAATTTGAGATGCCAGATTACTATCCTTTTAATGCAACAGCAAGTCTAGTCGAAGGAAACCAAGCTCTAGCGTCGGTCGATGATTGGTGTCGTCTTGGAAGCTATGTGATGAAGTAGATAAATCTAAAAGGCTAACAGGCTAAGAAGATTATCATTTTATCTAAAAGGCTACAAAGTAGAAAAGTGATTATGAAACGTAATTAATCATTGTAATCCAATGGAGAAACGGTCTCATGGTAGCAGGTTAACCACTAGAACGTCATCTTTATCTCCTTTGTTACTTTCGAGGGCTGCTATTGGGAATTGATTGAATCCTCACTATAAGCTATGAAGGTGAAGGCAGATCCATCATAGTTTGTTTTTGGAGCAGGTAAAAAAACCAGAAGCACTGCCCCCACTCCACTTTCTGTCGCTTACAATTCAAGTGCCAAAAAGAAGCGTCAAGACAAGTTGACGCGGTCGTGGCTGTCTACATTAGGTGTTTCTTCAAGAGGATTTGGTGAGGAGAGCAGTTGATTTTAATCACTACAACCAATATAAATTCCATGACCAACCAATGACTGTGCATTGCTAAAGAATTGTTCAAATCATCTATGGCATTCTCAAGAGTTGCTTTCGGTTTCCTAGTGACAGGTTTCCTCTCAGCCACACTCTCCCTAGCAAACCCTGGCTGGGGTTTTGGCTGGGGCGGTGGGGTCCCGGGCGGCCAATTTGGTGCACCCTCATACGGCCTTTTCCCACAGTTCTATCAGTTTTCATGCCCTCAAGCTGATGATATTGTCATGTCGGTGCTGGAGAAGGCCATTGCAGGAGAACCTAGGATGGCTGCCTCCTTGCTAAGGCTTCATTTCCACGACTGTTTGTGGCAGGTTACTTGCTTAGAACTATCATATATGTACAGAGAAATCTATGTATATCTTTTCAAAATGGACACTTAATATTCTTTTCCTAAATAAAGATAATTTTCCTTTACTTTTCGTCTTAAAGGGCTGCGATGCGTCAGTATTGCTGGACGACAGTGCGACTATAGTTAGTGAAAAGAATTCATTACCAAACAAGAACTCCATTAGAGGATTCGAAGTGATTGATGAGATGAAGGCAAAGCTAGAAGAAGCATGTCCTCAAACTGTTTCCTGCGCTGACATTCTTGCCATGGCTGCTCGTGGCTCCACTGTATTGGTAAGCATGAAAAAAAAGGCTCCAGGGTTAACGGTAACTGGCAAGATTGATTCAGCATTACTTGTTTTACTATTCTGTTGCTAACTAGGATTACTGCCCATGGCGATAACAGAGCGGTGGACCATCCTGGGAGCTCCCACTTGGAAGGAGGGACTCCAAGACGGCTAGTCTCAGCACCTCAAACAACAACATCCCACCACCAAATTCCACTCTTCAGAACCTGATTACGCTTTTCCAGCGTCAAGGTCTCGATGAAGTAGACCTCGTGGCGCTCTCAGGTCAATCATTGTCGACATTTTCAGACACAAAACTGTCCCACCCTTAATGGCTTTCTTTCATCTTTTTGACTATGTAATGTTTCAGGAGGACATACCATCGGGGTGGCAAGGTGTGTGACTTTCAAGCAGAGGCTGTACAACCAAAACGGAAACAACCTGCCAGACGAGACACTAGAAAAAACCTACTACTATGGCTTGAAATCTGTCTGTCCCAAGTCTGGCGGTGACAACATTATTTCACCTTTGGATTTCGGGTCCCTGTAAAATTTGACAACCTCTACTTCAAGCTCATCCTGTGGGGCAAAGGACTGCTGAATTCGGATGAAGTTCTTTTGACAGGGAATGGTGGAAACACCATGGAATTTGTTAAGGCTTATGCAGAGGATGAGAATCTCTTCTTTGAACAATTTGCCAAGTCAATGATTAAGATGGGGAACATTAATCCTCTAACTGGATTTAATGGTGACGTTAGGAAGAATTGTCGCCTTGTTAATTAGGAAAGTTGAATTATGGTATCTGATTATTCATGTTTGAGAATGAGTTAACTATGCTCTTTTTCATTTCTAAGTCAGTGAGGCTGTAAGCTTTGTAATGGATTTTAAAGAATTAATCAAAGTTTATTATTATTTATTATCTCCACTGTTTAATTATAAGAGCAGGAATTATTCACTTATTCAACAATATTTGGTAACTTTTCCTTTCTATAAAAGTAAAAGAAATTAATTCAATCCTTAATAAATAATTAAATAAAAATTGATAAGAATAATAAACGTTCATAAGTACCTTAAATGTAATAAATTTTAAAATATTGACTATGATTTATATTATATTAATTACGATAAATATTAAACCAATTATACTATTTCCCAAGGTTTATTTATTTATAATTTAATTTTTTTCCAAAAAAATTCAATTTTAAAATTAAATTATTATTATTATTGTTATCGTTAGTATAATTATTATATGGACCACCGACTGGATGGGAAGTGTCCAGCCCACCAGGAGTTGGATTCCTAGACAATTCCAAGAGGATAGTCTAATCATCCAATAAACTGTGTAAAATAAACGCCCAATGCCCACACATTTCACGCAGAACGGGGGCTCGTCGTTTTTCAACATCGCCTTCAGCCAGTGAAGCAAACCAAGTAAGTAAGATATTCGAATACCAATGCAAATTCTCAAAGAGTTCGGATAATTCACGACGGACAATCACAGATTGAAATCCATAGCAGGACTGGTATTTGGAAGAATGGGAAAGCAATCGAGCGCCTGGATTGCAATCCAGCAGAAAAGGAGATGGCCATTGATGATTCTGATACTCCTCTCTCTATCAACAGCCATGGCCTTCCTCATTAGATCCACCTTCGATTCTTGCCCCATTAGTTCTAGTAACAATGTCAGCCATTTCGTCCGAGAAAAGCAAGACGGAGGAGGAGGAGGAGGGAGCACCGACGATCGACTTAACGGCAACGCTCGAGCACCGAGTCTAAATCCTCTCGATTTCATGAAGTCAAGACTCGTTCTCTTAGTCTCCCACGAACTTACCCTTTCCGGTGGACCTTTATTGTTAATGGAACTGGCGTTTCTGTTAAGAGGGGTTGGCGCCGAGGTTGTCTGGGTAACTAACCAGAAACCAAATGAAGCTAATGACGTCATTCACAGTCTGGAACATAAGATGTTGGATCAAGGAGTTCAGGTTTTCGTTTTTAATTTTGCTTTCTTAAATTTTCTTCCTTCTTAAATGCAATTGATGTTCTAATTGATGGATTTTCATTTTCCTACTGCGTCAGGTTTACTCTGCCAAAGGTGAAGAAGCTGTGAATACTGCTCTCAAGGCTGATTTGGTAATTTTGAATACTGCAGTCGCGGGAAAGTGGCTGGATGCTGTTCTTAAGGAAAATGTCGCTCAAGTTCTTCCAAAGGTTCTCTGGTGGATTCATGAAATGCGAGGACATTATTTCAAACTAGAGTATGTTAAGCACCTCCCTTTTGTTGCAGGTGCCATGATTGATTCACATACCACAGCAAATTACTGGAAAAACAGGACCCATGAACGATTAGGGTAATGCTTTTTATATCAATAGCTTTTATGCAAATGCTAATATATATGTAGATTCATTACTTGGCTAATTGGCTTAGCTAAAGTTACAATGCCAGTGGATGTTATATCATATATGGATTGTAGGATATCCATACACTTTTTGACACCTGTTTAGTATAATCTAAATCTATGCTTCACTTTAGTTTCAGCTGCTTTTGGTTGTTTACCTAACTTTATGTTTTTCTTTACAGGATTAAAATGCCTGAAACATATGTTGTGCACTTAGGAAATAGCAAGGAACTAATGGAAGTGGCTGAAAATCACGTAGCCAAGAGGGTTCTTCGTGAGCATGTTCGTGAATCTCTTGGAGCGCGTAATGAAGATCTAGTCTTTGCTCTTATAAACAGTATGTGCTTCTTGGATGCATGGTGAATAAATGATATGCTATAGTGATTCCATAGTAGATAACTAGTGAATGAGCCTGCTCCCAAACCCATTTGAGATGCTAGTTTGTTTTTGTTGTTCAAAGTAGTAATTCTTGTCTAGCAGAGAATTGTTTATGTCGATTTTGATTTATCATATGATCTTCTCCGCACATAAAACTGCTAGCAACTTTCTCCCATGGCGAGTCCACCGCCTATTAATCATTCCATCATTCAGTTTGCATCCTAGGTCTAGGAATTTTATAATTCACAATGAGGATCTCTACAGACATTTTAGCATAAATAAGACTATTCTTCATTGGATTAGAGGATAACTCACTGTCGGTTGCTGTTTATGTTTTAGAGCCTCTGATCAATTGCCGATCTCTTCCTACTTCATTTTCCATGGTAGCATATTACTTGTTGTTGTTGTTTGTGTTCTTTCACAAAGCTATACAATTTAATTATTACAGAATGTTGCCACTCACCAGTTGCTATTATAGTTTATGTTCCTCTGTTATGCTTCAATACCGTTGAACATCTTCTGAACACCAAGCACTGTCCTGTTGCAGGTGTTTCCCGTGGGAAGGGTCAGGATCTATTTCTTCGTTCATTTAATGAAAGTTTGCAATTGATTCGGGAGAGAAAATTACAGGTGCCATCAATTCATGCAGTGATAGTGGGAAGTGACATGAATGCTCAGACAAAGTTTGAAACAGAACTGCGTAACTTTGTATCAGAGAAGAATATTCAAAATCGTGTGCACTTTGTTAATAAAACCCTGACTGTAGCTCCCTATCTGGCTTCTATTGATGTTCTTGTTCAAAACTCTCAGGTATTCTGTAAATAACTATGTTGTTTATCTGTGTAGCAAGAGTACATATTGTTTTACTCTTATGTACCAAAAAAGAAGTGCATTTTCTTCCGCTTTTGCTTTGCTGCCAAAGCTTACAAGTTGTTGTCACATTTAGGCCCGGGGAGAGTGTTTTGGAAGAATAACAATAGAAGCTATGGCCTTTCGGCTTCCTGTACTGGTAAGCTCTGTGGTTTTTCAGTAGCAATTCCTGTCCTCAATCTATCAATTTTCCTTTTTTCCATTCATACTTGGCAATGTAATCAATTTTCCAATCGTTGACTAGTATTTATACAGGGCACAGCAGCCGGTGGCACCATGGAGATAGTCGTAAACGGGACGACAGGCTTGTTGCATCCTGTCGGCAAGGAAGGCGTGTCGCCCCTTGCAAACAACATCGTGCAACTGGCTAGAAACGTAGAGAGGAGGCTGACCATGGGAAAGAGAGGATATGAGAGGGTGAAAGAGAGGTTTTTAGAGCACCACATGGCCGAGAGAATCGCTTTGGTTCTAAAGGAAGTGCTGCACAAGGCAAAGCGCCACTCTCATTCTTGAAAAAGTTAAAAACCCGCAGCAGTACCTTCAATTAAGCACGAATGTCATTAAGATGAATCACCTCCATCTCAAAGATCTATATTTGTATATCATGTGGCAGAAAATACCGTAGATATATTCATGTTATAGTGGAATTTTTCCATTCTTTTTACTACTAAATTTGTAATTTAAAATTGCTGAGGAGAATTTATCACACAAATTTTTTTCTTAGTCAACAAGGAAATAAATAATCTTGTAAACTTTACGTCGGTCCAAAATTCCAAATCAAATGTTATTAGTAATTCTAAATAATAAATGGTATGATATGCATAATCCCTTTTTTTGAAATGAGTAGAATTAGATGGAATTAATGGTTGTAACTAACGTCCGCATAGCCAAATTTAAAATCTAGTTTAAATGCGCTCATCAGTAGCCTAAGCCTTTTCTTTACTCATGGACAAAAAGGGTTCATGAATTAGTAATTTGTGGATTTTATTATATTAGTTTTTTAGTTTAAAGAATGATTAATTAATAAGAATCATTTTTCTTCTACTTTTTGGTATATAACAGTAGTTTGGTCTCGTATATAATATCTGATTTTGATCATAAATTTTTTAACTTGGACTCAAATATTATAAATATTTTATCAAATTAAATTTTAAAAAATTTACATTTGAAAGTTACAGGATTAAAAAATTTTTAATAAATGATCATTTAAAAGTTAAAAATTGATAAAAAAAAAATCAGTACATTAAATATATATATATATATATATATGTGTATGTATATGACATGAAATGAAAAGGGTATTATTTTTAATTTTTTTTAATTTAAATAAAAGGAAAAAGGAATTTTTAGAACAGGCGGCTTCCAAAAATGAAAATGCATAAATAAAGCAGTTCCAACTCGCACAACCCCTCACTCAAGAAACCTCAGAAAAGGACTTCCAAGAAAAAGCATTTTTCAACTCGAACGATTTCGATATCTGACTAGAGATTTGTGACAATGAGCGACGGAGAAGACGCCGTGCGACGCCGTAATGCGATTGCGGAGTACCGGAAGAAACTCCTTCAACACAAGGAGTACGAATCCAGGGTTCGAGCAGGTCTCCTGTCTATCTGATCCCCTAAACCCAATTATCTAACCCTAATCTGAGGGCGCATTTCTCTGGTTTTTTTTTCTGGATCCGCGTTTTCATTTTACATTCTAATTACTGTTTCGTCGTTTGCCGATTTAGGAATTAGGGTTTTGTTCTGCTCGATTTTGGTTCCTCTGTCCGCTCTATCGGCTGCTTTGTTTGTTTAAGTGATTTACAATTTGCTGCCTTTTGAAAATATTTTTTTTTTGTAGAGATAGCTTGAGTAGGTAGAATTTGGAGAGAAAAGCTTTAAGCTTTGATTGGTGCGATAGATAATTGCTTTGTTTTCTACTCAAATTATGCATTTTGATTTCTTGAACTTGGGCTTATAATTGGCTTTTAGTTATACTGTTGTTCATGATGAAATTAAATGTATGAACTTCTGAGAAAACAAACGAGGCAGAAAAAACAAAAGAAAAGAATGCTTGCAGCCATGCCTATTGCTTTGTGAAGTTGCTGTTTGAAGACCAAATCTTTATCTTTCTGATTAATATGGTGCATCTGAGATGGTTTTTACCATATTTGTATTTATGAATGTTCAGGTAGGGAGAATCTGAGAGCTGCTAAGAAGGAGTTCAACAAAACAGAAGATGATTTGAAGTCTCTGCAGAGTGTTGGACAGATCATTGGAGAAGTTCTCAGGCCTCTTGATAATGAACGCTGTAACTACTTCTCCTTCCCCTTCTATTAATGTTGATGCTTGTACGTTAGTCCTAGTGGATAAGCATCTTCCAATTCCATAACTGCATTTCAAACTTGTGCACTTCATTTATGTATTATTTTTTGAAAAATTACATACTTTGTGTCTGAGTAGTTGCTTTTGAATTTTAAGCTGCTTGTTTATTCATTTTTTCTTGAGAATGGATAATAACTTTAAAATTTGATGTTTCAGTGATTGTTAAAGCAAGCAGTGGCCCTCGCTATGTAGTTGGTTGCCGCAGCAAAGTTGATAAGGAGAAACTGACTTCAGGAACCAGAGTGGTTCTTGATATGACAACACTTACAATCATGCGGGCACTTCCACGCGAAGTAAAAATTAGCCCCCATATTTTCTTCAACTGTATTTATGATATAAAAGTAAGTTTTCTTTGCATGATGTCTGATATCATGGTACAACTTTGGATGACAGGTTGATCCAGTTGTTTACAACATGTTGCATGAAGATCCTGGTAATGTTAGCTACTCGGCTGTTGGTGGTTTGTCTGATCAAATTCGAGAACTGAGGGAATCTATTGAGCTCCCTCTCATGAATCCTGAGCTTTTCCTTAGAGTTGGGATTAAACCTCCAAAGGTGATTATCATTCCTATCCCCCCCCCTTTCTGTTCCTGAGTCACAGAGGGGGTGCTTGTGTGTATAGTTGATGGGAAGCACACTGCGGTCGAGTGATGTTTGTTTGATAATCATCTGAAATTTCTTGTCTTTATTGCAGGGTGTTCTTCTTTATGGCCCTCCTGGTACAGGCAAGACATTGTTAGCCAGAGCAATAGCAAGTAATATTGATGCTAACTTCTTAAAGGTTGGCTTTTTGTACCATGTGCATTGCCTTTGTGGTTTTCTATAGCATGTTATCCGGTCCCTGAATGAATGCATTTTATCTTCTCGTCATCTGGGTTCAGGTTGTTTCGAGTGCAATAATTGACAAATACATTGGAGAAAGTGCAAGGCTGATACGAGAAATGTTCGGATATGCACGTGATCACCAAGTGAGACCTTGGAGTGATGAATTGTTTGCTGTTGTGCTTCTTTATATCCATTAGTATCACTCTTATGTTTGTTTCATTTTATTCAGCCTTGCATCATTTTTATGGATGAGATTGATGCCATTGGTGGACGACGTTTCAGTGAGGGAACAAGTGCTGACCGTGAAATACAGAGAACACTGATGGAGTTACTTAATCAGCTTGATGGATTTGATCAGCTTGGGAAGGTACATTGTTTTGTTCATGAACATAGTTCAAAATTTTGATTTAAAACAAACATTCCTTGCAGCTGCAAACACATCCCTACATGCCACACATTTTGTGGTTAATTTTTTTTTATAGTTTTTCTAGCAAAGCGGGTGAAGAATGGGGTATTCTACTATCTTATTGACCTATTGTACCTTTAGTCACAGCTTTGTCCAGTTAGAGCCCATTCCACTTGACTATTGAAGCATCATAAAATCTCCTGGTATGGTCCTTGGAAAAGAGCCTGTTTGTTAATATCATGAAGTGGATGGCTCACGGCCTAATTTTGTGTATTTAGATTTGTTGCATTTCCATGGTCTGGTACTTAAATTACTCTCAATACATCCTTCATTGCCGCCCATTACGCAGGTTTTCCTTTACTTTCTCTTAAGTGTGGCAAAATCATTATCAATTTTAATTGTTTATGTAGGTTAAAATGATCATGGCTACAAACAGACCTGATGTGCTTGACCCTGCACTTCTTCGTCCCGGGCGGTTAGACAGAAAGATAGAGATTCCATTACCAAATGAGCAATCAAGAATGGAAATCCTCAAGATTCATGCTGCTGGCATAGCCAAGCATGGTGATATTGACTATGAGGCTGTTGTTAAACTTGCTGAGGTTAGTCAAAGGTGGCCTTTTTCTGTTTCATGTCTGTAACACATTACTAATATAGGCTTTGTCACCATTGCTTTAGGGCTTTAACGGTGCTGATCTACGAAATGTTTGTACGGAGGCTGGAATGTCAGCAATTCGTGCAGAACGTGATTACGTCATCCATGAAGATTTCATGAAGGTAGGACCTTGAAACTTGACAGAATGTCTTTTTGATTTGGCTTATGTGAACTAGAACTTTTTCGAACGAAGGATTTTCTTTTGTTTCGGTATAACTATTGGGAAAAACAAAGTTGGACAACGGGTGATTTGCTCACTTCTGATCAAATTGCAGGCTGTAAGAAAATTGAACGAAGCCAAGAAACTGGAATCTAGCGCACACTACAGTGCCGATTTTGGGAAAGAATAGAGCTTTTCTGTTCTCATTGAAGCCATGGAGTATTGGGCAGTGCTTGTTATTTCCCGATGTTGCTGATTTGCTCAAGTTAGCTGTTCGCTTCTTTATCAACATGTTCAAGAAATTCAGAATGTATTTTAAATATTACAGCTTTCATGACAAAAGGGTTGGCACAATGTTGGCATAATTACGGCTGGTTAAACCCATGAGACAATTGTATCACGAACCTGTTTCATGTTATAGGAAATTGAATCATTTCACCAGGTTATGGATTGATTCTAGCTTTAGTTTGGGTTGTTATATTAATTCATTCCAAATTTTCACCCACCGCTTTTGGTCAACTGGTCTTAATTTTGAACTTATTGTTGTAGCTTATGCACTTGTCATTCAACTTGATGATTTTCTTATACATTTGACTCTTAACTTTGATAGCTGGGGTACCTTCCCATAAATAATGTTACAGGGCGAGTTAGTAAGATCTGAACTGAGGCTGCCCTGTCTACATCAGCTGACGGTTGCGCAGCAAGGTTAGCACCATGGGTGGCTAAGCTGATTCACTATGCTTACGGTAAGAGCTGACCAAACTCTACTTAATAGTACTTCAATTTACGAGTACTAGGGCCATTTTTTCTGCTTGTTTTATTCCACATTTCACGGGTTTTTCCTTGTTTGGTATGTCGGCTGGCAGTAGACAAGAAACATTTTGGAAGGTAACAAGTAACATTAAAGCCGCCTTGTGTTATATTGGTTGCTGAGCCAAAGTACATAACAATTTTTGCCTTTTAATGGTAATGATGATTGAAGTCCAATTGTATACGGATATGATTTTACAAACTTTTGTAAATTCAACTGTGGATGATGATCAGGTCATGGTGAATTCCACATTAACAGGGTTTTTTAAATGTTCATATCATATCCTGTGGGATATCTTTTGTATGACGGTAAAATATAACTAAACAACATCACAATTCTTATATAATGGGATTTTACAAGTTTATATTTAGTACATGAAGATGCAGATATTCATGCAACATCTTTCAACACAATCATTCATCAATCCTAGTAAACTTGTAACACTGGCTTTAGTTCAATTTTCCTGAGTGCAGAGGACTAGAAACCACCTTCTTCTGTTTTTTAGTAAGCTTGCGTATCACCATCTTTACAATCTTGTAGAGCCAGAAAGTACTGACAAACTGCAGTCCCAGGCCCATTGCCTGAGTAACAGAAGAGAGAGGCGTTTTGCCAGTTACTTTCATATGTTAATTCCTTGATTTGAATCAAGAATAAGTCAAAAGTGGGTCTGGTACAAGTAATTACCTTGATAAGTATTGGGTTATTAGCAGACACAGTCACGAAGGTGAGATACGGACCACCCACCATCCTTGCTAGTGAGAATATTACGGCAAATGCGATCTGTTCAAAACCAGCCGGCCATGAGAACTTGAGAGAGACAGCCCCCTCTAAACAATCAAAATGTAGATGACTGGAATTGTTGCCATTCAAGGTAAACGGAAATGCTGATCTAAAGCCAAAAAGTGAAAACAAAGAAATGGGAGTTTGCAGAGTTTGGGAACTGACATCGGCTGCTAAATTGAGGTCAGTGTCCCTGTAACCGAGTTCTTTCAGCAGCTCCCTGGCATGGAGGAAAGGGCTTGAGATCTCTGTTATGAATAACGCAGCAACCTGCTCCGATCCACACTGCAAAAGAAAACTGAATGCATGTGCTTGGGTTTTGCTGGAGAGTCAAGTAGAAACCATGGATACATGGACTAACTCATGAAATGAAGAAGCAAACAGACCCCAAACCTCTAAATATTGTTCCACAGACTTGGGATTTTGATTTCATCAAATTAACTTCGGAAAAAAGAGTTAAAACTGAGCTGAATCAAAATTTGCAAAAAGTTTTTAGACAGAAAACAAACACCCAAGTATAAGGTGAACACCTTTTGATAGGCAAGGCCTGCTCCAATACCGACGATGCTAACCAAGTGGTGAACTGTATTATCAAGACTGACTCGCTCGTCAAAGAGGCAGCATATCAGGTCATAGATGAGATAAGCAACGGTCACAGCCAAAGTTTGCCTCTGCTCGAAAGTCAGAATTCAGAAATCCACCATAAATAGAGTAAGAATTTCCAAAAGATCTCTCCAAACTCCAAGATAGCAAGAGCGCTGGTTGTTAAGTACCTGCTTAAGAGAAGAGTTTGAAGCCAAAGGACAAACTGGGCAACTCCAATCTTCAACAGAGCGGGAGGCTAAGATTACTGCTAAAGTTGCATGGATGGTCGAAACAATGCGGTTGCAGAAATCAAAGGAGCGTTTGGAGAAAGTTTTTCTGATTAATAGAAACGCTGTCGTCCATAAGAGTACTCCCAACACAATCAAGTTGACAATGTCGTCTTCCATGTTAGTTTCCCTTCCTTCCAAGCTACCAGTGAAAGTACCCCAAAACAAATCCAGATAAAAGCTTTCAAAAGCGCTAAAACCAGAAGGAAAAAAGAAGAAGAAGAAAGAATTGGGCCTATTCCTGTCTTCTAAACAGGAAAGCAGAAAGGAAACTTGGGTTTATACAGATTTTTACTAACAGAACAGATTGTAGGCATATGAACACAAACAATGACCACCCTTTTTCTCCTTGAATACCGTAAACTGTGAATATATATGCATATGGAACTGATTTTCCAAAAGCTAAGTCATCACACTCATCTGCCAAGCAGGTCCCGGATGACCATTTACTCTTTCAGATAGTTCATGCCGTTAGGGTCAGGGTAGGTTGGTGGCCAAACATTTACTTCCGAACCCAATTCCATTTAATAGCCTCTGAAGTGATCAAATACAATAACTTTTGTTCAAACTGAGTGCCCTTTTGAGATTTTAATATTGTTCGGATATGGGCATGGATATCAAGATAAAAATAATCTACGTATTGATAATTACTAACGGCAAGGCATTATCTTCGTATCTACGTTTGCAACACCCCTTTGCAAGCCTATTTCGACCGAAGGATTCTTTCATTAAAGACAAAAGGGAAAACTCTAGGTTTAAACACTTATTTCTTTGCCTATTTTCAGCCAATTTTTAATGCAGAGAATTAAGGGGGCTGCTTGAAGTTGTCGACAAAGTATAAATGAGGGGGGCTGTACTTCGTTTTCATCTTCCTGCTGCTAACTAAATATAATGAATGAGGGCAGTTGGCATGGTCTAGTCAGCTTCAGAGGAATGCCTTATGTTACAACTTCAATTGCACTCATTGAATTAATGAAATTAAATTGTAATACCCAAATGGGTATTTATATTAATGAAAGTGACTATATAACAACAACAATAAACAAGAGGTTTAAATATTGCAAGGAATGAATTTTGGGTTAGCTTGGAAAAGGAAAATTCATATAATTAATGCTCTAAGTATTAGTCCTGTTCACATTTAACGTAATACAACATCCCACTGCCTTGAAGCTAAGTAAAAAGCCTATTGCCTACTTTCACCCAAAATAAAAAAACATCACTACTTGAACATAGTCCAATGATTGCTTTGTGGAGCTTATGATTTGGATATTAATGGATACTTCTTGGATTAAAATTAAATTACTATAATTATGATTTGTATATGTACATTAATAAACTAATATACTTTAAGTATATTATTAATTAAATTTATTATCAATTCTTCTTAATATATATAAAAATATATTATATATTAATATATAAGTACTTAATTTGGTTTTTTGGATGGATTGGTTTAAAAATTTGAAAACAGAGAATTAAATAAAAAATCAATTAGACTAAACATGTTAGACTAATTGGTCCAATAAATCAATTAAATCAAACTATTTTATCGAAATCGAATTTAATTTGAGTTTATGATTGATCTGGGTTAATTTTGTTCACTTAAAAATTAAAGTATCACCCCCAGATTAAAGTATTTGTGAGGTCCATTATTTGTATCTGCTGTCCTTCTTGGGCTCTGGTCTAGAGCCCAAGAAGGACAGCAGATACAAATAAAGTGTTGAGCCCATTACTGGATTCCAACCCAAGATTCTTGCAAATTTTGGGCTTCCGTTCAATAGCCTGAACTGAACCCACATTAGCCAGCCCAAACTAGGCCTTCGTGCAAATTTTCTTCCTGCTTTCGTTGCCATGCCATAGTCGTACTCTGTGGTCTGCAGCCTGTAGATTCTCCTAGTTAAGCAGTCATTTGTTAATTTAAAAAAAGAAAAAAACTAAAACAATTAACGTTGCAAAAGCAAGACTGCCAAGAGATGGAGATATGGCAACTGTCGGGACGATTTTTCTCGGCCAGTCCCCTTCAATCTAACCATCGTTTGAGAAAAGTAGCTACAACGCCCGAAGTTTTTAATCTATGCAATTGGCTCTAGCTGTTCCCAAACGGATGAACCAGATTGAGAATCTGGGAATCGGATGTTCATTCTAGACATGGGTTTTGTCGGACAGTTCTTTGCTTAGGAGCTCCTGAAAGAAGGCTGGTAAGAATGCCTAATTGTCTATGGCTTCTGAGATGGAAATATAAAGCATGCAATCATTGTTTAAATGCTCTTATTTGTAGGATTCGTCTCTGGGACTTGCACAAGCAGCAAGAAGAGAACGGAACTTGAGAAAAGAGGATTTGGTGGTCACCTTTTTGATGCAAATCAGCCATAGTAAGGTGTGCATGTCTGGCTGGCAATTGACAAGAAAACATTCTGGAAGGTAACAAGTAACATCAAAGCCTTCTTGTGTTTTATTGGTTGCTGAGTACCCAACGGATTTTTGCCTTTTAATGGTAATGATGATTAGAGTCCAATTACATGGATATGATTTTAAAAATTTTTGTAAATTCAACGGTAGATGATGATCAGATCACCTACACGATGTTGGTATGTATGTCGAGTATTACAATTTTAAAGCAGAATCATGAATTCCAAGTCAATTGAGTATCTAAACAACAACACAAATTTTAAATAATGGGATTTTATGAGCTAAATTTAGCACATCAAGCGCACACTTTCATGCAACATCTTTCAACACAATCAGCCGTCAATCCTAGTGAACTTGTGTAACACTGGCTTTCGTTCAATTTTCCTGAATGCAGAGGACTAGAAACCACCTCCTTCGTTCCTCTAGCAAGCTGGTATTTCACCATCTTTACAATCTTGTAGAACCAGAAAGCACTGACTAACTGCAGTCCCAGGGCCATTGCCTGAATAACATAAGAGATGGGCGTTTTGCCAGTTATTTTCATATGTTAATTCATTGATTGAATCATGAACAAGTTAAAAGTGGGTATGGTACAAGTAATTACCTTGATAAGTATTGCATTATTAACAGAGTCACGAAAGTGACATTAGGACCACCCACCGTCCTTGCTAGTGAGAATATTACAGCAAATGTGATCTGTTCAAAAACCAACCCGCCATGAGCGTTTAGGACTATGAAAAAGACCAAACATGGAATTTAATTCTATTTGAAAATTTGAGAGAGACAGCCATCTAAACAATTAAAAAGTACATGACCGAAATTGTTGCCATTCAAGTTAGATGGAAGTGTTGATCTAAAGCCAGAAGGTGATAACAAAGGAATGGGAGTTTGAAGAGTTTGGGAACTGACATCGGCTGCTAAATTGAGGTCAGTGTCCCTGTAACCGAGTTCTTTAAGAAGCTCCCTGGCATGGAGGAAAGGACTTGAGATCTCTGATATGAATGACGCAGCAACCAGCTCTGATCCACACTGCACCAAAAAAAAAAAAAACCGAATGCTGTTTTTGGGTTTTGCTGGAGAGAAAGTAGAAAGCATGGATACATGGACTAACCCATGAAATGAAGAAGCAAACAGAGCCCAAACCTCTAATATTGCTCCACAAAAAGATTTAAAGAAATGAAGGATCTACTCTTCTAAGCCGAATCAAAATTTCCAGAAAGTTTTTAGACCGACGACAAACAGCCAAGCATAAAGGTGAAGCCTTTTGATAGGCAAGGCCTCTCCAATACCAACGATGCTGACAAGTGGTGACTGTATTGTCAAGACTGACTCGCCATTCAGAGATGCAGCATATCAGGTCAAGGAGAAGATAAGCAATTGTCACAGCCAAAGTTCACCTCTGCTCGAAAGTCAGAATTCAGAAATCCACCAAAAATAGATTAAGATTTCTAGAAGATCTCTCCAAACTCCAAGATAGCAAGAGCCTGGTTGTTAAATACCTGCTTAAGAGAAGATTTGAAGCCAAAGGACAAACTGGGCAACTCCAATCTTCAACAGAGCGGGAGGCTAAGATTACTGCTAAAGTTGCATGGATGGTCGAAACAATGCGGTTGCAGAAATCAAAGGAGCGGTTGGAGAAAGTTTTTCTGATTAATAGAAAAGCTGTCGTCCCTGAGAGTACTCCCAACACAATCAAATTCACAATGTCGTCTTCCATGTTTGTTTTCCTTTCTTCCAAGCTCCCAGTGAAAGTACCTCCAAACTAATCCAGCTAAATGCCACTAAAACCAAAAGAAAAAAAGAAAGAATTTGGCCTATTATTTTCCAATAGATTGTAAGCCATAAACTGAGAATATATATATATACATATATGGAAATACTTTGCCAAAGGCTAAGTCATCAGACTCATCTGCCAAGCAGTTTCCAAATGACCATTTACTGTTTGCCAAACTTTCGATTCCAAACCCAATTCTATTTAACAGCTCTTGAATTGACCCAATACTAAAATTTCCTGTTCGAATCGAATGCCTTTTCTGGATCACGGCCACGGCAATCAAGATAAAATTAATCTAAATGCTAATAAATATCAAATACAAACATCCTAACTAACCTTCTCGACAAAGTATGAATGAGGGGGGTGTGCTACGTTTTATCTTCCTGCTGCTAACTATACTTAATGAACGTGGGCAGTTGGCAGAGAGGAGAACTTCGATGGTTCTCATTAAATTATACAGTATTATGGAAAAAAAGTATTTGTAGTAGAAAAAATATTTGATATACTGACAATATATTATATTTTATATACAATTAAATCACTAAATCTTGACGCTTTTAGTTTTATAAGCTGTAAGGATATCAAATATTAATCTTTTGTATTAATGAAATGACTATATAACAACTACAATAAATAGAGGTTTTAAATATTAAAAGTATGGAATTTTGGGGTAACTTGGCAAAGCAAAATTCATATAAATTAAAGCTGTAAGTATTTGTGAGGTCCATTATTTGTATCAGCTGTGCTTTTTGGGTTCCCGTCCAATGGTGTAGGCCCAAACTAGTCATGGAGATGGTCAAGATGTTGAGCCCATTTTTGGATTTCAGCACAAGATTTTTGAAAATTTTGGGTTTTGAGCCCACATTACCAAGACCAAACTAGGCCTTTCTGCGAGTTTTCTTCCTGCTTTCAGTGCCTTGGTCATGCTCTGTAGTCTGTAGTCTCTCCTAGCTAAGCAGTAATTTGTTAATTTAAAAAAGAAAAGAAAAGAAAAGAAAAAAGCTAAAACAATTAACGTTGTAGAAGCAAGACTGCCCAAGAGATGGAGGTATGTCAACTGTCGGGACGATTTTTCTCGGCCAGTCCCCTTCAATTTAACCATCGTTTTAGAAAAGTAGCTACAACCCCGAAGTTTTTAATCTATGCAAATGGGTCTAGCTGTTCCCAAACGGATGAACCAGACCGAGAATCTCGGAATCGGATGTTCATTCTAGGCATGGGTTTTTTCGGACAGTTCTTTGCTCAGGAGCTCCTGAAAGAAGGCTGGTGAGAATGCCTAATTGTCTATGGTTTCTGAGGTAGAACTATTAAGCATCCATCATCGTTTATATGCTCTAATTTGTAGGATTGTCTCTGGGACTTGCACAAGCATCAAGAAGAGAACGGAACTTGAGAAAAAAGGATTTGATGTCCACCTTTTTGATGCAAATCAGCCACAGTAATTTTTAGTTTTACGGATTATGGATTGCTGAAAAATGTTCTTGGAAATTAAATTGCCATTTTGGGCTTACTTCCTGTTTTATGTTGTGTAGGATGAACACCATGAATACATTGAAATGCTACACCCATCTCCTTGTCTCAATTCCTCCTGTTGTGGGGATTGGTGATCCGGTATGCTGAGAATCTTTCCTGGTTTTTCCTGGTTACAGTACAAATTCTGTGAAGCTCTCTAATGAGGCACATTTTTTCCTTGTTGATTTTGTAGATGCTTCAACATGGAGAAATTCTAAGAAGTGTGCTGATGGAGGGCAATCTTCAGTGGCTCTGTTATTTGTCATCAACTAGTATGCCTTTCATCATACCTCCTGTTTGAATAAATATAGGAATCGGGTGTTGTGCTTGCATGCATGCATTATTTCAGCCTTGAAGAAAATCAATGTGAGTCTTTGTCTGTAAAATGTTTCAGCCTTGAAAGAAAATCTAGAAATTATCATATGCATATATTATTCTGCTACTTGTCAATGGTCATGCATTCTGGTGTCTGTGGGAGAGCTTCCTTGTGTATTTTAGAAAGTCCTTCTTGCCTGTGAAGGAGTGACAATGAAGTAAATCCTTGCATCATTACTTCTTTGACACTGTGTCTAACAAGCTCTTTTGTTTCCAAGAACTTAAATCTGAAATGATAATCTGCTGTTGTCTGACAGGTGTATATGGAGATTGTGGTGGTGCTTGTGTGGATGAGGAGTAAAGAACATTTCTTTGTGCACCAATGTATTGTAAATTACTGTCAGTCAGAGTCACTAATTTCATGCATTATCTCATGACAGTTACCCCACGAACCCTGTAAATGAGTTGGCAAAGTTGAGGTTAGCTGCTGAACAAGGATGGTTGAATCTAGCCCATGATATTGGGATCGCAGCACACATATTTCGACTTGGAGGTATCTATGGCCCTGGTAGAAGGTTGTGATTGATAAATTTCATAACCAGTTGTTTGCAATGATGTTATGGAATCCATAGTTAGTAGTGAAGAATTCACATGTTAGATTCTAGTATATTCATATGAAGCCAATGATATTCACTTCCAAATTCTCTTCTCTGCTGCAGCTCATTGGCCTGCCTTGTGAAGGCCAATTAGAGATGGGGGACTGAGGAAGGAGAGAGAGAGAGAACTAGTAGTAGTACTATCCTAAGTCTAACTTTTGGCCTTTTTAGTTCATATATGAGTAGTAAAATATAGAAATTAGCTCCACCTTCAAATGTTAATGCTTTCAGCGAGGTTGCTGTATGTAATACGAGGATGATATCATGATTGATTAGTCATCGGTGCATTTTCTTTGAGCTTTTGGGTCTGAGAAGTGTTCAGTTTAGCTTATTGTTATGCTGTTGCAGTTCAATCCAAATTTGTTAAGGCTTATGAGTAAGTAATTGATATGCTGCTTTCCTTTGCAGTGCTGTTGACACAATAATTAAGCAGGGACCGTTATCAGAATCTCAGAAACTGAGAGTGACCAGACAATTCACATCCAGGGTTCATGTCGCAGACATTTATCAAGCACTTAAGGCCAGTATTCATATGCCATCCTCAAGGTATGCTATAGTTATCATCTTCATTATCTCAATAGAAGGAGGATATTTAATCTGGACATCGGACTGATTTCACTCCATTGAAGAAGGGACTGAATCCCAGTTCCTAATTCAAAGGCCCCTATCCAACAGAAGCAAATTCATGATTCTTGAAGCTTTTAGTTGGCTTCCAGAATGGACAATCAATCTTGTCTCGCAGACGGCTATTAGCATAGCTGAAGAAAAATGATGACTTTGATTAGCTCCTTTGAATTTTGCTTTTCAGGAGAGTTTACAATGTTGTAGATGATGACCCAGCACCCCGTAAAGAGGTGTTTGCCTATGCATTGGATTTGGTTGAGAAAAAGTGGCCTGCCCTGATCAAGGATTTCACGTCTCCTCCTTGGGAAGCCGACTCATTCATTCAGAAGGCAACTTCGAGAGGTGAGAAACAAGTTTCGAATGCACGTATGAAGAAGGAACTAGCAGTCAAGCTTCTTCATCCGAGTTATAAATCTGGATTGCAGAGCATAATTGAGCAAATGTAGAACCCATTTCAGAAACCCATTTTTGGCAAAGCAAACCATTGGGTTCTGAGGAACTTCATCCACATATGGCAGATTTCACACAAATACCAATCCTCTAAAACCTATTTCTTCTTGTTTGTTGCGGGAATGGCTTTAGGTACTTACCAAGGAACCAACAACATTTAGGTACCTATCCCCAAATTAATGGCTTTTCATGAAAATGCAGCATTCTTTTACGCTTTCAACAAAACCAAAAGTTTGCGTGTATATAAAGTATCAAGCTGTATTGATATTGTTGTTTTAATGTAAGGTTTCAAACCTTATCGGATGTATGACTGAATCTTGCTTGTTTTTTTTTCCTGATATACTAAGTGACTGCGGAAATTGAGCTTTAACACCTTGTCCATTGTCCATAAGTCATCCACTGTCCATAAACTCCGGACCAAGAAACAACAAGAGCACAGGGATTTTGTGCCGTTAACAGAAGACATTATGTCATAAAATACAGCAAAGTAGAATTGAAAAGGCAAAGGATAGTAAACTTCTTACTAGTCACTTTCCAAATCAATTCAATGCTTCATTGAGTTGATCTGTCAGCAGCTGAAATGTAAGTTCCTTTCAGATCAGAGTCATCCACAATGCCATGTAGATATTGAGAGTAGGCAACATTCAATTACATCTAAACATGAAACCTACAAAGAAAATGCTTACTTGCTATCTAGAATCAAGAAAATGACTTCATTCCCTAGAACTTTGAACTCTCAAAACCCCACCACCGTAAGAAATCTTATTGCCTATAAAATTCCAAAACTACACATTTATATTCTGATCCAATTCAAAGTCGGTCATACTCATGCCCTACCCAGCCCAAGCCTATGGGCAACAAAATACACTAAGGGCTCAAGTTATAGGGTGGGTCCATGTGGGAAATCTTCTATAGCTATGCCTATTGATAGTGTTACCTAAAGGGCAGGAGAATCTCCAACTCAAGAAGCTGAGATTTGATGGCATTGGAACTTGGAAGCCTGACTTGGTGATCATACTGTAATCTTCTATCTTAAACCCTTCTAAGTAAGGGAAACAAAAGTATATTTACTGACAATGATAATCTTTTACGATGAAATGGGCAGGCTCCTCACCTCATACCAGTAGAGGAGGAACTCAATCTTTTCTATATCTTGCCCAAAACCCCTTCTTCCTGGCAGAATCATTCTCTGATAGTGATCTGCCCCACTTAGACCCAATTGAGAAGTGGCGTTTCAAAAAAGGCTTAGCCAAGGAACTTTTCCGGCTTGAACTGGGTTCCAATTTTGGAGCTTTTCCTTCCCGTTTGGCATGTTGTTGGTGGTCAAAATCATCACAACCACCATCAACAAAACTATCTATAACTCTATTCTTGAATAACTTAAGCTGTTTTGCCTTCAACTCTGCTTCTGCTTTCAAAGCTTTTCGGGACATCTTTGAAACCTGCTTTTCTCCAACCATACATATTGGGCAGGCTGGGTCATATCTGTCAGCTTCTGGTGTCATCATCTCCAAGCATTCAGCATGATAAACATGGCCACAGACAAGTATGGCAACCACTGAAATTTCATTGCTGCTCCACAAAGATCTCTCAGCTAAAAGCTTTGAGCAAGCCCCACAAGTCTGCAAATCTATGGATGGAGACGAAGAGAACCTGCTGCTACATCCACTAATCTTGCCATAGCCAGAACCTAAATGCTCACTGTCAAAAGACCACCTTTCTCTTTGAGAAGAGGCCACAAGCTCAGAAAAAGTGCGCATGGACCAGCCATCAGAAGAGCCACCATGAGATCCAGCTGTTAAGTCATTGCTACACGCGGAGAGCACAAACGATGACCTTCCTTCAGACATTGAATAATTATTTGGTGATTTCAATCCCAGGATTCGACTATCAGACACCTGCCTTAATAGCCGATGCCCAGGTGAACGACGAGCCCGTCTGGATGGGGTTGAGTTGGGAGGAAGTAAATGAGCATGGCTAGACAAAGTATCTGTAATTGGTGGTGAGAATGATGAAGGTATAGAAAATGAAAGCTTCGGTGCAGATGAATCCACAATATCTGGTGATTCTGCCAAATTCTTCACCTGAAAGATAACCAGAAGGGCATGTTAGTCCATCAAAAGGGATAGAAAAGGCTACAGCATCACCAAAAGATAAAGAAAAGTAAAAGAAAATACACATTTGAATAAAAAGCTTATTCAACTTAAGTCAATTTCAACTAGTTCAAACTTACCTCAATGGAATAATTGCTTGCCCTTGATATTTCTGCACCAAAAACATTAAATAAAATCAAACACAATACAAACAAGTGACAAAAAAAGGGGATATGGAGTAGATATTACTCAAAACTGCATGGGAAGAATAGAAGTAGACAATTCTGGAAATATGCATGCTTGTAATTTGTAAATACATAAACCACAACTGTTAAATGTTCATTCTTATGAGACATGTGGTATTGAGTACAAGCACTCAATCAGTCAGTACCCTGCCACCCTGCATAATAAAGGTTAGGAATTATGAACCACCTAGTACTAGCCTTCTGCAGTGGTTGGGATTAGAAGACTGTTAGGGTCTTTCACATAAAAATTCATGGACAGACTTATATAAATTACATAATCTCCAAAGAAAAAAAAATAGAACATTAATTCAGGCAAAAATTTCCTGAAAACCCCCATGTAGTGCCAAGATGATGATGGGAAAAGGTATGAAGATATGTTATTCAAATAGCAAGAATTTACCTGAAGGGGCATGGACTGGTGATTTTTGAGAAGTGGGTGTTCCATAGTTCTCAATCTCAAGCACACTTCCTTGATCAGAAAGGTTACCTCTATCAGAGCCTAATGACCCTTTTATTTCCATGCTAATGTTTCTGCTAGCTCCATTAGACATCTGATAAGAAGGATCTTCAGTTTCACCAGCCACACGCCTTCGGTTATCCCAGCGGAAGCTCCATGATGGTGAACATGTCACATTCCTATGCAAAGTTTCAGTCCGAGTTCTATTTGGAAGGGTTCTCTCTTTTGCAGCAACACAACAAGCCGACCCCATGATCACTCATATACCCCCAAAAAAAAATTTTTAACGAATTGGCACCGTTGATTCAAGCTATGACAACCTCAAGGCAAAGTACCGCATAGAGAATAAACAGCGAAATTCCCGGAAAAAAAGAAAAACACGGTGCAAATTTTAGAATTCATAATTAAAAATTGAAAAGATAAATGGATTGAACAAACAACTGAAACCAACTAAACAAACCCAAAAGACAAACACTTCAAACTAAGCTAACCACAGTTGACTTGCTAAGTTTCATCTTCTAAGAGCAATTATTTCATTTCCTTCATTATTCCCAAGATCCAAACTAGACTAAATAGAGTAATCAGGGAAAATATTGCAGCTAAAGAAAAAAATTAAACAAAAAAGGAAAGCCCAAGAAGATTGATTTAAAAAAAATGCAATTAAAATAAAGGAAAATTACTTGGGAGTATCAAGCATTCTTTATTTATCAACAAATAAATAAATAAAAGTAAAAATTAACATGGTAGCGGCAAAATAGCAGAGTTAAGCTGAAATTAAAACAATAATAGCGAAAATTCTACCTAGAAACCATCTTCCTCAATTAAGTAAGCAAAAACCTGGCTTTCTCCAACTTTAGAATAAACTTAAGAGCAAACTAAAAGATGTACGTCACGAATATTTCCATAAGCACAAGTCTTCAACTACTCGAGAGCACAATTCCATTTTACTTTTATAACAAACAAAGAATCACCGTTTCGGAAGACTTACAGTTGTACGAAAAATAGCTCAAAAGTTAACGAAATCAGAGAAGAGAGAGGGAGAGCTTCAAATAGCTCTCAAAACGGTTTCGTTTCGTACGCCACTCTCTGCACTGATTTTCAAGTTTCCAAAGCCTAAAAATAGCATCCATACAAAAAACACAAGCAAAAATAATACTCTTATTTTAAAAAAAAAAAGAAAGAAGTAGAAGAAGAAGAAAAGACTCACAGATTCAATATTTAGGGAGTCATGGACCTGAAGAAGAGAGATTTGAACGGCGTCGAAACTTTCGACGGCGGTTAGAGAGGAAGGGAAGGCGTTGGTCACGACGGAACAAGGAAGAGAGAAAGGGTGTGAAAGAGCGAGAGAGAGAGTCAAGGGCACGTATGGGGAATTGTGCCCCGTCTGTTTGTAGTGCTGCTTCTTTTTCCGCTCCTCCTTTTTTTTTTTTTTCTGCTGACTTTTCCCTTTTTCTTTATTTTTCTTAAATTTGGCGATAAACGATAAAAAAAATAAAAATAAAATGCAGCAGCGTTTTCTCTGCCACGCGGAGTACGGTCCACTTCCTTTGGCCTTTTTGTGTTACTATACTAATAATAAAGTCTACACTTTATTTAATAAATTAAATAAAAAAAATACTTTTGGGCTCAAATATTTTCAATTATATTTAAAAATTTTAATTTCATTATTAACATCAACGTAACTTTATGGAAATATTATTTAATGTTAATAAAAGAAAAAAAAAGAACGAACATGAGTATGACTTGCACCATGGGTGGGTCCAAGAAATTGTGCAACTTTGGTAAATGGAGGTTGACAACGACCTTTGACTGAGCTTCAGTTCACATTTCGATGCTCGCTTCTCCCCTTTTCCTTTTTTATTTTTTGGCTTTGATATTAAATATTAAAAACAAAGAAAGAAGAAGAAATGAGTTCAGTAGGAAGATCATTGATTAATTAAGGAGAAGTTTAGGCTTAAACAGCTAAATCCTTTTATTGACTCAAAGTCAACAAACTATATATGGTAATGCTTTGATCACTACTATCTTACCAAAAAGATGATAATTTAATATCTTACTAATTTTAGATATATATCTATGTATTCAAAATATTTTTATAAGTTTGAGTGAGTACTAATATAAAATAATTATTATTTTTATTGAATACAGTTTTAAAAAATATATTATGGTCATGCCTAAGTCAATTTCATGGATTAGAGTGAAAAATATGGATTAATATAAATTAGCTCATAATTGGAATTGGATAATGTCAAAGCAAACTTGCTTTGTCTTTTTTTTTTTCAAGACAAGTGATTTGATTTCATACTCTTTATGCAATAATATCATGTATTAATTAATGAGTCAAATATTTACATAATATTTTACTATTTCTCATCCTTAATTAAACTTCAAGTATAATTTATTCAACTATTCTTTTCATATAAATATTAAATTAGATTGAAAACTAGGGTTCATACAACAATTTAATCAAATACCCTCCTTCGAGGATGAGATTAGATAAAATCTAATGGGGTAATCTTATATATATATATATAATATTTAAATAAACTCTTATTTTTCTAATACCTTCAATCAAATATTTTTATTTTTAGTCAAATATACATTTATGATTAAAAGTTTGATTAATTATTATTAATCAAAATGTCATTTTTCATTTTAATGAATGCTGACGTAACATGTTAATATGACATAATTATACGTGTGTTATATTAATTAATAATAATTAGTCAACTATTGATTGAGAACTTATTTAATTTAAAATAAAAATATATGAGTTTGATTGAACACAATAAACAATAAAGACTTATTTAATTTTATTTTCAATAATTTAGAGATTTTATAAAGTATTATGTTTTTTTTATTATTATAGGAAGATAGCCCCCTTTTTGTAATAAACCTACATGGCTACACCCATCTAATTTGTTATTGGAATTTTTTAAAGCATCTTTTATTTTTCTATAAAATTTATTACAAACAAAACAAAAATTACTCTTAATAATTTGTAATATTTTTATATTTTTAAGTTAAAAGATTATTTATTCTACAGCATTTTATAAATGTGGAATGCATAAAACTACATCACATCTTATTTTTTTGGATAAAATATATTGACTTTTTTAACTTTTGATAATAATTATACATAAGTTTATTAGTTTTTAAAATAAACACTCTATCTTTAATATGTAAACGATATTTATATTTAAATATAAAATGTTTAAAATATATTTTTTATTATTTTTTTTTCTTTCATGCTGGTCGATGGCACTCTCTTACACCAACAAGCCACCTTGCGCTTGGATTTAACCATGAAATGTCAAATCCAATCGAATCTCCCTAAGCTCCTTTGGGAAGCATGGTGCACTCTCTTATAGAGCCTAAATCGGTGTTCCCTTGAGGAGTGCCATCAACTGCGGGTGATTGGTGGAAAGATTTAAACAAAAAGAGAGAGAAAAAATTTTAAATAAAAATTTATAATTTAAATAGTGATAATTTTAAAAATTAACAAAAGATAAAGTTATTCTAAAAATATTATTCTATCATCAAAATTAATAAAAGTATTGACAGTTGACTAACTACAAGATTTATATGTTCAATAAAAATATTTTTAAATAAAATATTTATTTTAAAAATTAATATATTTATGTGTAATTATAATAAAATTTTGAAAAAGTTACTGTATTTTTTTTCCAAGAAATCAATTATTGAAGACCGATGTAAGTGATTTAGGCTGAGTAATTGGGCCAACTGGGCCATCCCCGACCCATTATTAACTGACATAAGTCAGACCGGACTGAAATTTTTCACGACCAAGCCCACGCGACAAACTCTGTTCTTAAACCTCACCTCTTTGCAAACTTTTTCACCTCGGATTCTGACCCACGACAGCCGTAAGTAAAACGCTCTACTTGACCAGGAAAAGAATAGAAAACAAAGGAAAACAAGATAGAACTACAATGACGGATGTCGAGAGCAGACAGGCTTCACACTAACACTTAAACTGTAGCATTTCAAGCGGTTTTCCTTCATTTTTTTTTTCTCAATTTAAGGTAACTTCTCCTCCTCATCTCTACCCAGTCTTGGTTTTGCCTTTTTTTTTTTTAACGTGGATTTTTGATACTTTTATCAGGTGAGCTTTGCATTGGATTCACCAAACGGTTATTAAGCTTTAAATTTGACGGTTTAGAGTAATTTACTTTATGGGTTTTGGGTTTTAGTTGTTTATCTGGTGAATTTTAAGTGTATTGGTTCAATAACATTTCCTTCAGTTGCTTCAGAGTAAGTTATGTGGAAGTTTCTCTTTTTCTCAATTATTTGTTACTGGAAATGGACTCTAATGATTATGTTTAAGCAGTTTCCCATATGGGTACTTTTAGCAGTAATCGGTGGTTGTAATTTTAATATTACAGCGCTGGGCATTGTGTATCTAATATTACAGGTTAAGAGCTAATGAAAAATGTGAACAATATTGAACCAGAAACGCAAATGAATGTGCTGGTCTAGAAAAATTTACCGTGCTGGAGGATGTCTTCTTTAGTATAATATATCATGTGCAAGTAACAATTTAGGATGCAGATTTTCCTCAATTAGCATGAAAGATATAATCCAGAATAGGAAACCTGTAAGTGGTATTGCCTAGTGCCTACTAATTTACTATATGCTTGAATTTTTATATATTTATTATCTACGGAACACTAACTATTCATGCCTCCCCCCCCCCCCCCCCTCTCCTCACTGTGTGCTACATAAACTGTAACACTGTAACACATGCCTATTATGTTTAGAACATTTGAATGGGTGGGATAGGATGATTTTTTTTTGTTTAACATTCCTCTTTGCTCTACCTATGCTGATAAATTTGCTCTACCTATGCTGATAAATTATGTACATTGTTTTCATGGTCTTTAGCAAGGTAGGTGCCATGATTCTGAATGGATTCACCTCTCCCTCCAGAATTGTTTCTGTGAGTTCAAGGCTACCTAAGCCAATGCCATGTAGCTTTACTTTTGTGTGCTTTAATCATCTGCCTGTGACAGCTGCACTTCAAAGCAGCAGCAGAAGTTCTTCAGGGTCTTATTGGGATTTGAAATCCTGGTCAGTTGTAGGTAAAAGGCTACCCCTTTTTTCTTTTAAAATCCATCATTTGGTATACAAGAGATTAATAACAAACATCATATGTAGATCGTTTTTATATTAGGCTTATCAAAAAGCATATTAGGCTTATCAAAAAGCTGAATGGCCTGGAGAGTCTTATCTTTTTTATTTTCCATTCTGTGGTTCTGGATTGATGTATGTCTGAACTCTCCTAACAATTGTTCTTATTTGTCTGATGTATAGCTGACACTGTCCATCTTGTAGATGTGTCTTTGTTGCACCTTTCTGCTGCATCAACTCCATTGTTGAGTGGGGATCAAGGTGGTCTCTCACACACTTTACCCTCATTACCAAGGCGTCGCAGATCTAATATGGGCCCGCGAGCATCAAAGGATGTTCCATACAGTTTTCGCTATCCTCAAATGACTAAGAAACCCAGATGGTGGTGGAGGACTTTAGCATGCCTTCCCTATTTAATGCCTCTTCACGAGACATGGATGTATGCTGAGACAGCATATCATCTACACCCCTTCTTGGAAGACCTTGAGTTTTTGACCTATCCATTCCTTGGAGCCATTGGAAGTTTGCCGAGCTGGTCCCTGATGGCATATTTTTTTGTTGCATATCTAGGGGTGGTGAGGAGAAAAGAATGGCCTCACTTTTTTAGATTTCATGTGGTGATGGGCATGTTATTGGAGATTGCCCTGCAGGTGATTGGGACTGTGAGCCGCTGGATGCCACTTGCAGTCTACTGGGGCAAGATTGGGATGCACTTTTGGACAGCTGTGGCATTTGCTTATCTCTTTACTGTTCTGGAGTGCATTCGATGTGCACTTGCTGGTATGTATGCTGACATCCCCTTCGTATGTGATGCCGCTTATATCCAAATTCCATATGATTAGGTGAAAAATATAGCAGAAACTTTCTATATTTCCATTATGTGTTGTTTATTTTGTATGGGAAATTTTTCAAGCAGATATGAATGTTTTAATTTGAATATTGCCTTTCGGTCGGCTTATGTAATTTAAGTTTTATCCAGTGTAGGATATCCATCTAAGCACCTTGTCCACCTTCCAACCATCCAAGTGGGCCTTTTCCCCTCCTTTCTTTAGTTAATGATGATTTTGTGAATGCCATTTAGATGTTAGTTACCATTAGTGCTATCTTGATTACCCTTTCCGATAATGTTTATCCTTTCTGATAAATGTTACTGTAATTGATGGTAATGCTTTTGATTTGTTTAATCTTCATGTCTGAACGTGTTCTTTTGTCTATTTGCTTGCAATCTAATGGTTCCTAGGTGTAATCATAGCTCTCTGTATATATGCTGGTGGAAGCACATCATTGCTTGTCTTATCTGAATCTTCATGGCCAAAATTGCCATCTTGCCTTTGGAATCAAATCCCTTTGTTTTATGAAGTTTTCTGAAATTTATAGACCTGAAAACTACATGTTAAAAGAAAAGAGTACTTCAATACTTGTTGTTACTTGGATCTTTATGATTTAGTTGGAGACAATTGTAGAGTTTGAATTCGTTTCTTCTTCTTTCTGTTCGTTTCTATTAAATCTCATGGGTAAAATTCACTTTGGCTTAGCGGTCGATGGGATTGCCGTTAACAGCTTAGAAAGTTCAAAGTTGCGAAGTATTGCTAGCAAAAGTATGTTCTTTTAAATGCCTTGCTGCCTGAATCCAAAATGACCCTGTTTTCAGCAGCTCCGCCACACTAAACATGTCTATTAACCCTGGTTAATATCTGACAAAGAAGTTATCCTGGCTTAGTTTTACCTTTCTTCTGAAGTTTCATTGCATGAAATCCTTCTTTGCAGCACAAGAAAACAACCTAACCAATGTCTTGGCTTTTCCCAAAGGGATAACAGCTGGACAGGTTACCCTTTACCGTCCTGAACATCTTCTAATCAAACCAGAATTTCTGAAAAAACCTAGAAAATTTTCCTCTCCTTTAAGGGAAGGTACATGACTGTCGAGTCAAAACCCACGATCACTTACATGGTCAAATTTCCAAATTATACAACTATTTGAGTCTATATATATAAACAAAAAAAAGAAGGAAAAACTGAATTCATACCACTTTGTGATTAAGATTTTAAATGATCCATGTAACCTACTAAACTTACGTTAATGTTTGTCGGAACCCCACTTACCACACAGATGATTTGAGATGATGCAAATGTACCCTACTAATCTTTGGATGAACTAACAGGGTTGTTCCTTTGCACTCAATTATTTGGATTTATTTATCATGTCTAGGTGGGAATGTCATTGTAGTCTTACATCATGTTCTGTCGTCTGTGTTTTGCCTTTCATGCTACTTGCCCATTCCATCAAAGAGCTTAAAGTATATGAATTGATTTCTCACTTCTTGTTGATTGTACTCCTCTATCATCTTTTTTGGCTTGTCTATAATCAAATCAAGGGGATGGAAATTGGATAATTGGGTTTGTAAAAATCAATATTCTTCTTTCGGTGATATCCTCAATCAGATCCCACCTGCTGCAATTGGGGTTTGGGGGGGAGAAAAAATTTTCAACTGTAGATGAATGCGAATGGATAATGCTTGAACCAATCAAGTCAAAAGATTCAATTAAAATTGCACCAACTCAGTACCCAATATAGTTCAGAAGGAAGAACGGCTGGAAACAGATGATGTTCCTAGTGTAGCATGATGGAAATTTTATTACACTTTTTAGCTTTGCCTGCCCTTCCTCTTCTAATATGGAAAAACTTTCCACCACAGAGAGTAAAACAAATATAAATTCACCCTTGCTTATGTCTTGCTGCGAACTGATCTAACCTCTCTGCAATTATCATTGAAGTAAGCTATTCCATTAAACAAAAAGCCAAGAAAATGACACCATTTTCTCAAATGGCAGCCTCTCCTGCTTCAATGGTCATGCTGTCATCATCTTTTTAATCACCAAACTAATCCTCCTTATGCCTTTTAGCCTGCAATCAAACACACAAAGCAATTGAAAGGGATGGCATGGCCAGTTAATATCGTACCAGAAACCCCATTATGTACCTAAATTCACCCACTTTCTTGGCTGCCTTTTCTGCCTCCAGTTTAATTGGTGTAATCTCCATTACCAGTACATGCATTGTAAAGCACAGGCACACAATGGATCAATAAATGCAGGACAAGCAAAAGTCTACCTTTAATTAAAGTTGGCTTCCCTTTTTTTTTTTCTCTCATTTGTGGCATAGGAAGATCTTGTATAAGATTTTATTCTCTAAACATTGTGTTTGGTAGGAAAGAAAAGAGAATGAGAATTGGATGGAAGGAAAATGAAAAAATTTTCAATCACTTCTCTCCTTCGACAAGAAGGAAACAAAGTCAGTCCAAAAATAATAATAATAATAAATTATTAAAAAGAAAGATATTTATAAGATATTTACTTAATATGATAATCTTAAAGAATATCTTTGAAGCACCCGTTATTAAAATTCATTAAAGAAATTTTCTTCTTTAAGTTTTTATATATTTAGAAAAAAGAGATTAATTTTACTTTTTTCCCCCTTATCTCAAATGGTAACGAGTGATTAAATTAATGTAATCTAAGATTAATGTTTGAGATTTATAAACCCGAAATTAAATTAAGTAGACTGATAAGTACGATAGCAGCTCATAATCAAAGCCTCAATTAAACTAATCAAAGAGGACATGCCACCCCACATCAGTCAACTTTAAGCAAGTACGAGGCCAGCATGCTTTATCTGGATTACTATAGCTTTAAACAAGTATAATCATTAGGAAAATAATGTAAGAAAAAAGAAAATTACAGAGAAATGGGAGATCGGTTCATGGTGCCCGACAGTGGAGGGGTTTTGACTCTCCCCACCACGATGAGCTTCACTTTTACAGTTTGCCATTGTAATGGTGGCTAATATTTTTCTCAATTCCCCTTGTCCACTTCTCTTTGTTCAATTCTTCCCTTTCTCTATGCTTATAAACTTGTCATACTAATCTTGTATATTTTATAAGCTTTAAATGCATTAAGAAATCCCTTTTTTTTTTTCATTAAAATCTCATACAATACTAATTCATCAGAAAAGACAACGTATTAAATATAAATTCGAATATAAATTATATTTTTTTAATATTAATAGTTGGGTTTTTACCTATATTTATAGTGCTTTCAAAATTTATTATGTTTTATGGCAGGGAATATTGAGTTTTTATAGTTGAAAATGTCTAAAAACCTTTGCATAGGCAAGAAACAAGGTTAGGTGAAGATTATATTAATTAGGCCTCGTGTTTTGGATGGGTTGTTGGCATTCCTTCAAACACGAAAATGATATAAAGTGGCATGCAAAACACACCCTTTGATTAAAACATTGTACATTGAACCTGGGCAAAGCTTCTTGGGTGTTTCCGCAAAGTGGCACAAGAATCAACAGACAAGAACACACACAGGAGATCATGGGAGAAGGAGAGAGAATCAAGGAGGAAATATGGGCTTTGATGTGATCACTTGTTTTATAGTTCTTTCTTTCTTCCATGATATCATACTTTATCTTATCGTGATCCTTGATAATGTTTAATGGCACTCAATTTGATACAGGTGTTCGGTTCTAAGACAGAGTTCATGTCGGTATTGATTCTACAATTAAATTCTTATTTTGTTATTACATTTAAATAAATTATTATTATTTTGATTTATAAATTTTTAATTTATAATGAACAAGTTAATATTGAATACCAATTAATATTAATAGACAGATTAAGTTAAGAGTGGTGTGCGGTTTGAATTTTTTTTTTTTTTGTTATTTAAAGCTTAATTTAGTAGGAACGTGATCGTTTTCAATATTTTCAATGTGTTAAATATTTCATTGAAACAGCACAAAACAAAATAATGAGTGCCATGCAAAAGTTGAGAGAATAAATTGTGGTTGGCCATTACCATCTATGATTGTTTTGGATTTGAACTTCCATCCACTAACCATCTACGTCAAGATTTTTATGAATGAAGCCAGAGGGTACAGTGCCTAAAAGTACATTCAAATGCTATATGAAACATAGTTGTTTAAATAATTAAGCATCATTAAGCAGTAATCAAGTGTTGGGTATGAGTTTATTATCACTTATAACTTGAAATAATTGATCAGTTTATTGAATTATTTATGCTAGAATGTCATGGATTCAAGCATAAGAGAACATGAAATACGAGTTTAATTTCTCGAGGTTAGGTCTTTTCTCAGGATTCAACTTTCCTTCTAACTGCAACAACGTAGGAGTCTTTTCCTTTCTTGTTGAAAGGTTTCCTTCGATATCATAGCAGCGTCGGGGGAGAGAGAAAAAGTGATACGAAAGCAACAATCAGTGAAGGAATTAACATCTTTTTGATTAGGGTGGAAATCGTGTTCCGAGGTTGTACCATGGCGGCTTTGGATGGGCTGAGCAAGCAACTACAGTGACAAACAAGAGAGAACCTCTTGGCTTTAGCAGTTATTTGCCACTTTTCTTGACCAAAAACAGAGGAAAGAAAAAGAAAGAAAGGAGAGGAAGACAGAGCAAGAAAGTTAGCCCACTTGCATACAAGAACAGAGAACACCATAAAATTATGACGTTTGGAAAGGAAAAAGAAGAAGACACCAAACAAGTGAAGGAAATTAATAATACACTAGTTTATAAAGTGGGGGAGACCACAAACATTTCCACAGGAAACCCCCCCTCCCATTTTACAGAAACTTGATAAATTTTATCCCCTAGCAAGCAGCTTTACTTGCTGGTTGCCAATTCTCTTACAGTCATGTTTTGCATCACCCTAGTTGCCAATAAGACTAATATTTTAGTAATAATAGTAATAATAACAAGAACAAACATTAAAGAAGGGGAAAAAAATAATAATACCCTCTTTTTCCCTCTCCACTCATTGAAGAAACACCACCAACAACAAAAGAATATATAAAGACATCCATAAATTTTGACCAGTTTTGGTTTTCCATCCATTTAGTAATGATGATGATGATGATGATGACGATGATGAGGATGAAGATCAGTGTTGAAAGATGTCTGCAGAGGCCATGATGGGCTGGTTAAGATAAGGCAGATTGAAAGGGTTGGTGAAACTGTCAGCAGAGCTTGTTTCAAAACCCTGACCAGTTTCATACAGGCCACCATTGGTTGTGGTACTGTTGAGATAATCGAGGATCTCATTAAGGGACTCTAGCCTTTGGCTTAATTCCATCATCTGAACCCTCAAAACAGAGTTCTCAGCCTCAATGTTCAAGTAGTGCTGGGTGGTGAAGTTGATGCTTGTCAGGATTTGGTTATTATCCTTCCTTAGCTGTGTCACTTGGGACACTAAATCATCTAGGTGCTTCTGTTTTCTCATCCTGGATCTTCTTGCTGATTCTCGGTTTGATTCCATTCTCTTTCTTTTTCTTTGATCCATCAGATGTTGCAAGTCCTCTTCAGAGCCGGAATTCTGAAGCAGAGTGGAACCTGAGGAATTGGAATTTCCACTAGACGAAGCCATATTATATTTACACAAAAACTACAGCTAAAAACTTCAACAAAAAAAGACTAATATTTCAAGATTAATCTAAACCCAAAGTGGACAGGATCCAGATACTAGTTATATTTAGGTAATCTAGACAGTTATTTATTTGACTTATTATTATATTTATATAGGGAAACTCAAGCAATCACAAAAAGTTTATTTATGAAAAAACATAGAACCAATAGAGGAAGACAACTGAGAAAGATTGAACAAGATGGGTCCTGCGTCTGAGGGAGGAATTTATCATAAACCCGGAGCGGAGGATTTCACTGACAACTGGAGACATGAATCTCAAACATCAACAACCACAACAACTTACGCAGCATGAAGATTTATAACAGAAGAAAAGAAAGCTTCTTTTTTGGCAGAAAAAAAGGATCAAAACCAACAGCAAATCTCAGCAAAAACAAGATAATTGTCTGCTGGATGATGGAGTTTTTTCAAGAGTTTGACTTTATGGGTTTTTGGTATAGACTCTGGAATCCAAAGCTTAACAACCAAAACCGCCCACAGAAGGGCAAAAACCTACTAAAAGGATGTGCAAAGAACAGAGGAAAACAGAGAAAGACCAGCAGAACCTCTACAAGGGAAACGCAAAAACAAGAAGAAGAGCAGAAAGAGCCTAGAATCTAAAAGGGCGGGGGGGAAGAGAGCAGAAGTGGAAGAGGTTTTTGAGATTGTTGAGAAGGCAATTTATAGAGAAAAAAGATATAGAAGAAAATGAAAGAAAGTTTAGAAAAATGGGGAAAAAAAAGAAAAAAAAATTAAAATGCGAATAAAAATCAAAGAGCTTTGGAATCTCCTCTTGAGAGTTGTTGGAGGAAGAGTTGATTAGGCATGTGGGGTGGAGACGAAATTTCCACAACCGTCCAATTCCAGCTGGTGACCAAGACACACACCGTGCAAATTATTTAATCATTATCTATTTCAGGTTGTTTTTGATTTTGTTGCCTTTTCTTTTTCTTTATTATTTTTCCTACTTCCTTTGCTTCTACTGGTAGGAGTACTCCTACTCGTTTTAGTAGTATTTTCCCCCTTTTTTTTTACCTCACTTTCACCGCCAATACCAGAATTAACCGCTTAAGTCCAGCACAGTTGCTTTTCTGACAAGTGGCTACTGCGTAACCAGAAAGGAATCTTAGGGATGGAGGTGGCATTTCAAACCCCTAAAGGGGTAATCTGGACATCAGAGTACAACACCCTTTTAGCTTAACAAAACAAAGATTAGTGCTAAGCATTCTATTAGTTTAAAAGACTAATATCCCCATTCTCCCCTTCTTTTTATTGTCAAAACAAAGTACTACCATTAGACTAACCCATCAAATAAGGGCCTCCGTCTCAGCCCCACCCTTATTTAAGTTTATATCAGAAGTCAGAGACCTTTTGTTGGCATTCTCCAAAGAGAGAGGAAGTTGGTTTGAGTTTGGATTTGGGTTTGGGTTTGGGTTGGGGTTTGGGTTGTTTTACCCTTATTTCAAATAGCAGAAAATGAAATTGATTCTCAGTTTGTCTCATGACAAAGAGTAGTACTTCTAGTAATATAATTCTGTAGTAATACTGCCAATAGTCATGAACAGGTTTCTGCCAAAGAGGAGAGAATCTATAAATATACAGGCAGCCAAAGCCCCATGGTTTTGCTGGCTATATATTGAAGCTGTTCATAGACCTGAAAAGGAAAAGTTGGTTCAATTTTTTTTTTATTAATTTGCTCTCTGTAATAAACACGGTACCTTGTTCTTTTAATCGCATCAATTCCCAAGAGGCTCCCCCTTTGATTCTTATTCAATATAATCTGACCGACTTTTTCCCCATTAAAAACTTTAAAAACAAAAGCATCCCCATGTGCAACAGTGCAGCTCCAGGAATGGTGCTAAGGCCTGGGTTGTAACCATAAAGTAACCATCAAGGTTTTGACTTTAATTGGCTACCGATTGCTTCGAAGAATCTGGAGCAACAACCATTCCAGAAAACTATAACAAAAGAAGAAGAAGAAGAAGAAAATTAGATTTAGGCCTTAATCTAGACCTACTAGCTTGCAGCTTGGACCACAGAAACCAGTGGCTGCATGGTCCCAGCCTTAATTGCAAGCCATCCGACTGGGCAAGGGCAATGATATGCGATTAATATGCTAGAAACAGGGACATGGAACTCGACAGATTAGATAAAAAAAAGGCTAGTTATTTGTCACCCAAATCAATTGTGTTGAACGATTGTTTCTGTCACCCCATTCTTTCTTCTTGGATTCTGCTCTGATGCAATTCTGGTTTCAGTTTCTTTTTGCCTTCTATCCTTCAATTGCCAAAGAAAGTCACTCTTCCAGCTGCCTACCTTCTTATGGACATTAGAGATCTGCAGAATCTGTATCCTTATCTTCTTTGTGGAAGAGCAAGAAAAGAACAAATGGTCTACTTTCAAGTCGCTGATAGCAAAAGATGCAACAGGCATTGGTAAAAGGGTTCCATGCGTAAACCTTTGCTGAGAATTAATGCTACCATCCAAAAAAAATGCTCCTTTCTGCTTCTATCAAACTCAAGAGACCGAAAACTTGTGTGAAAACCACAGTTATGCAGCCGTAAAATCCACACCTTTTCTATATCTTAATTTGAATTCAAGGTCTCTGACTAGAAAAAAACAATTAATTAGAGATCTATCAACGTTAATAGTATTTAATTCCAGTAAAATAAGGCAGCAGAGGATATTGTTATATATGTATTTTATTTGATCGATCAATTTCAAAGAAAAAAAATTCAAATTTATTCTTTTAGTGAAAATTCATGTACTTATCATCAACAAAATGTATAGGTAGTCAAAGAATATCATTCTTAAAAATACTTAATTTTTTTTAAAAAAAATTTAAACTTACTCTTCAAACCGGAATACATATTTTTATTGTTGAATCAAATGTTTAAATAAAAAAATAAAAAAATCATTTTAACACATATACTTTAGAATATTCCATCAACCAAACCAATTGGCTGATTGATCACCAGGTTTTTCACTTTGTGTTACTTGTAAAGTTAGCCCCATGTCACTGAAAATGACACGAACCAATCCCACGCTTTGCTTTAGCACAAAGAGAAAAGAACAACCAAAGTTATTTTATCTCTTCCGTTGCTTATAATTCCCTGTTAAAGTCATGAAACGCAAAGAGAGACATGAAAGTTCTCCATTCTCACCCTGTTTAAAGCCACGGATAATGCAAAATACACTAACCCAACACAATCCCACATATAACGTGGACTCCTTTTTAAGTTAAAATATAAAAGAACAAAATAAAACCACAGGAGCTTTTATGCTAGTATTAGTTTGCCGACAGTATTGTGTAACCTTGACGAAACAAGCTCATAGCTGAACTGCTGCCAAGGGCGGTGACCAACAGCAGTTAAAGCTCTGACCATGGTGAGCCCGAAGGGTTGGAAGACGGTTGTAGAGTACATGTAGTATCTAAACGATAGGGTTGGCACAAAACGACAATACAAAATTAATTGTGTACTCTGAAGGAAAATGAGAGAGAAGGGGGAAATGGGTAATTTGTTGTCGCAGAATGTTACTGAAATGGTGGATGTGACATTGCATGGTGGATTTTCAATCGAAAGTATGAAGAAATTCAGGCCTTTTTGGTGAAGCAAAGGTTGAAATGAACCTTAATCTTTGAAGATGAGAAGCATCGACATGTTTACTTGTGCCCTCAGATATTTAGTTTCTTCACTTAAAACGTAAGAAAAGTGTATGGAGAAGCAAAATTGACGTCCCTCCATTAAAGGAGAAAAAGGCATCGATGATGGGAGATCCATGGCCTGATTTCACTAGGATCCATAGCATCCTTCTTGATAATGACCATTGATCAATACACATGCCGAAAACACATTGATATCTCTTCGATCTCATAGTTACCCTCGGCTAGAGGTAAGTAGACTTTCCACTTGGATCACCTCGACAGTCAATGGCAAACAAAACAGATATAGAAAGGAAACCAAAACCCAAACTCGCATGTAACACGAAAACAAAGTCGAGGGCTTAAAAATTATATAAAAGAGGAAAAAAGGGTTGCTAAAAGCATCACATTCACCTCAATTATTGGCCCTAGGAGAGGAAAGCTTTGTTAGAGTTTAATGTTCATAGGTGAGGTGATATTGTGGTTTGATTTTATTGGTAACAAAATGCTGGTCCCTCCCAAATAGTGACAACACGAAAGAAGTGCAAAAGATCCATGCCTAACAGTTTTTTGAAAAAATCGTAATAGCTTAACAATGAGAGTACACATGGATAGAGCTCCTCCAGGCTTTGGCTTGGGCTTGATCAGGAGGTGTGACACCATTCTTTCTGGTCTTGTGTTGTTGTACAAAATGCTGGGGTAGGGGCAGCTTTCAGAAGCTGATTTGTTTGTTGGGTGTTGTTTAAGAAACTTGACGTTACTTGAGAGAGTTGAGAGAACCCCAAGCTGCATAGCTAGATTTAGGCATACATACCATATCTCAACACTTGCTCATTCTCCCACGTGATTACCTTCTTGTTTGTAGACATTTCTAGTACATTCAATTTAAACCTAATCTAATGCATACAAATTAAACATATAACGTGATTGAGACTAAATTCAATGATTCGTTACTCTTCGTTAACATGTTTGAATCTCCTTTTTCTTTTTTTTTTTGCCAAACTTCTTGAGTATCGGATGAATCATTAGCTTGAATTTAAACATAAAAACTGGTTTCGGTCTATGTCTAAGAGGACCATTATTCGACCCGGACAACAAGCCTGTTGGGCATAAAGCATTGAACAAGACAATAGCTGATAGACGCAGAAAAAGATTGTTACCTAAACATCTTTATTGTACAATTATACTTTAAGACCAAACTCCTATGTGTCATCATGATCAAAAACCAAAAAGAAAAGGGTAGAAAGACATTCTTTCATGTAGAAAATTCTTGTTGGATTACAGCATCATAGCTATGGCTGAATTTGGCGACAATTCTAGAGGTGGGAACTGTCAGAAAAGGATATGTAAGATTAGTTCATAATGTTCTAACACATTCTAATGAAAGCTGCTTATGCAAAGATGTTTGTATATATCAAGAATCTTAACCAAATTTGGCCTTTTCCCCCCTCGAGAGGTGCAAGAGGCAAAAGTATATGCTAGTAGGGTACCTTGCATTTTATATCTTGGCCTTACCTTATTCAGACTCGAAACAAAAATATCTCAATGAATTAATGTGAACAAATTAAGGACTGATCAGCAACAACTCTTAAAAAAAAAACACACTTTTAACTTTTCAAATGAATATCTTTTTTAAAGAAAATTCGAGATGGCTTCAATTTTAACTATCTTTACAATAAATTATAATAAATTTTGATTTTGATTACATTTCTTTAAGTAACATATCATTTTATGTAGCAAAATCTCTGAAAGAACGATGTTTCAAGATGTACGTGAGATGAAACATCAACATGGGCAAGGAAGTAGAGGGAAACTTCAAATTTGTTTTCCCATCAAAATGAAAATGGTTAGCTTACCAACTGTCCCATGATGAATGGCGATGGAAAGGAGATAGGCAAGGTGGCCACAGGTGGCTATTATCTTGTGGTGGTAAAAAGAATATGCTCTTTTCCAATTTTTTCAGAATTTATTGTTCATAGATGTTGACTCATTGCCCTCCCTTCTATCTTCTAGAAATTAAATTTAAAAATTTGCATAAACCTTTTTAGTAATTTTCAATCAAAATTAATATTTAATACACCGACAATCAAAATTTTCTTTTTTCTTATATGTTTTGATGATCTTTTGGCTCCTTCCTAGCTTTTTGATCTTATAATGGTAGTATTGTTGGTACAAATATTGGAAGGAAATGATTAACTTTAGTTTCAAGCCATGGTTTTCAAAAGGTGGAATCATGAGGAAGGTTACTAATATGAATCAAAAGAACAGATATACAACCAAATGCTGCCAATCTGCCATTACTCTTTCACTTTTTTCCTACAATCTTCTTGACCAATGATCAAAGTAGTATAAGGGTAGGGATGAGAGAGAGAAGAAAGGGTGCAATGGTCGGTTTTTGTAGGGTCAGAGAGGAGTCTATTTCAGCTTTTGCTAAAGGGGTCCCTGAAACAAGTTTCGATTTCGATTTTCCATGCAGTGATTTTCACGTCTTCTTCTTTCTTTTCTTTTCTCTTCCTTTTTCTTCTTCTCCCCAATTTCTTTGGGGGGGATTTAGCTTTTAATCTAAACTTGGTGGGTTGGTCACAGAGCTCCTTTTAGCCTATCAGCTGACAAGGCCTTCTTTCTCTTGACAGCAGATCACACCTGCCCTTCCCAAAGATATTTTGGTCTTTATAGACAACAGAACTCTTTGTTCTATACTCATTAAACAAGCATATATGATCAGAACCCATGAAACAGAATCTCGGAAAGCATAGATTAACAATTGAGGTTTTGAGATTGTCACGCAACAGATTTCTGTGACAAATATCTTTTTGTTCGCATTATGAGATTCATTCTATATCTTTACTGGTAATTAGCCAATAAGCAGCAGTCCATGAACTCTCCTCAGTTAGTCAAGTCTCGCTTTGTTAGACTAGTGGTGCTCAAACCCAAGGCTGAGCCATAACCCACGTGCTACTTTAACGAGCAAAGACGAAAAAAGCAGCCATCGACCTCCAACCATGCACCTTTTATCTTCTTTCCGGCTCCAACGTCCCAAACAGAAACATCCCCAAAAGAAAAAGCAGCGATAAGGGGTCTCCTATATCAAGCTCAATCGTGCATGGAACAGTAGTGTAAAGGTGATTATCACAGTAAGGTCAAGATGCTACAGAGCTGTCATGTTATCTAATCTTGGTCCAGGTTTCATACCAACTTCCATATCCCTAATGGGAACTTTATCCCAACTGCCTTCATTGTGAAGGCAAGCATGTGCGAAGTACGTATATCTGCAGCATTTACCAAAACCTTCTTTACCTGCAGATATTCACAAGTAAATCTGATCATCGAGGGTTATAGAGTAGGGATTCATGAACAAAGAAAGAACTAGCATGATATTAGATATATGTAACAATTAACAAGAAGATGATTATTACAGCATTTTCCAAATTATCCCATTTGCCGCAATAAGGAAAAGGACGTAGTAGACTAATTCACTAGGTGGATAAACAACTCTGTCTGCTGGAACCAAGATTTTCATGAGAAAAGTCAAAATCTACATGGAAGCATATACAAGGTACCTGGTCATATTGGGAATGGGAACCCAAAAATCAATTCCTTTTTTTAATTTGAATTGTCATAACTCGAGAAAAGAATACGGATTTTTATATGGGGGAATCACATTCTAAGTGTTCCTATAAATAATATTCTGCTAATTCACACATCCAACCTGTCAATCAAGGCAGTCGAAAACCCCAAAAAGCCACACCCAAAGTAGTCTAAAACAAGCCCGCTGTTTTCTAGATGTAGGCATGTGAAACTGTACCTGGAAAAAAAAAAAAACAAAAGGGCTGCAGAAGCTGACAAAGAATCCCATAAACTTTGACCCTTTTAAGAGTTAAATCTTATCATATCCGCATCTGCTTAATTTTGCCCAGCAAATTCCCGTACATATCGCAGAAACCTTTGGTTCATATAGGCTCATAGCTGTTTTTATTTTATTACCCCAATTTCCCACTCATGGAGCATATGCCATTTGATTTGTTTCATGTTCTTTCATCATATTTTTTAAGGCAAAAAATACCCAATTAAGGGTTCATAAAGAAGATTAATATGTAAACAAGTTGGCAAAAGAATATCAATCAATCAGCAGTTTGATGCTCTGTGTTTTTTTAGTGATCCGATCTGATCTTTTACCAGCTTAACTGAGTTCTTCCAAATAACCATGTGTACATTGTCAAAGAAACAAAGAATGTGACACTGAAAAGTATTACACGTGAAGTGCCCCTTAACCACAATAATGATTTGCAGATCAAATAATGATTTGCAGATCTCCTCTGTTTCTTTCTAGTCTCTAGACTCTAAGCTACTACTAGAATACTTCAGATGATTCTTTACTGCAATAATTTGAAGTGCCCCTCAACCACAAGAACAGGGAAAGGTGCGGGTAAGTGGAGCCAAGTTGGAAGGGATGGGTCCCGCCGTAAAAGCACAGCTTGTACAAAAACAAAGCTCAAGCAGCCACTGGAAAGGCAGCAGCACGCGGGCGGGGACTGGGGAGGAGGAGACCAGCATATCAAAAGTGGACCCGTCTCCTGCTCAAGGTTTTTGTCCAAATCTATCTTAAAAAACACAGACGCAGGGACAAAGTAAACAAATTGGCTGACCTTAGCCTGCTTGACCAGCCCTTCTCCCAATTTCCATCTTCCCCAGGATGTACATGTGATAATGTGGGCCTCATTATCTTAAATGGTTTATCCTTTCTCGTCGGATAACATGTTCAGGCTTAAATACCGGACAAATGGCATAAGAACATAGCACTAGGCCGACAGATGATCAGACCACAATGACATTGACTCCAGCCCCGGATATCGGGCCGCGGTTTTGGTAGCTTTGGGTAGTTGGGTTGGGTTCGATCCCCTTAATCATTTTCGAAGTTGTCCAATCCAATGTTCAGAAGTGGTTATCAGAACAGAAAAAATACAGTACCTCATATTCTCATAAACCCCTTTAAGCCATGCTTCTCCAAGAGCCATCAGCATAAGCGAGGAATTGCAGCAAGTGAAAGTTCAACAGCCAACATGGAAAGAGTATTTGCTTTCATACAAATAAATTACACTGCTGATAATGATAGTTCTTGATGTCTACACTTAATTTACATAAAAAATAAGTAAGTTCTCAGAGAGTTAGACACATACAACAGCAACCTTATGTACAAGTTTTTTCAAAAGGAAACAGGCATCTACAGTAAAGAGCTCAAGCTCCTAAACAAGCTCTTGACACAAAATTTAGTTCTATCATCAATCATCAGCGGACCACTTATACATCACATACGTTCTCCAACATTATTAAAACCATAGAGGAGTCGCAAAGACATAAATGTAACAACTAATACCACCAAAAAGGAAAACCCTGCTCGTCAGTAGTGAAACAACCTCGTAGGCTTGATTGCAGAACCAAGAAGAGGAAAAGATTAGGCGCACACCTCACCATTGGATGTAGCAGCTTCAGGATGGTAATGAAGCATTTCCTTCCACATCATCTCCCTGATCATCTCTTCACCTAAATCCTCATCTACGTCAAGGTCGATTGGCACCTGGGCTGGAGGATTGCTGTTGGGATCATACAAGGGTGCCATGTAAGGGTGTTGGAGTGCTTCAGTTACACCAATCCTTTTTGAGGGGTCAAAAAGAAGCATCTTTTGCAGTAAATCAATTGCCAAAGGATGGGCATTTGGATAGAGACGGGAAAAGGGGGTTCCAGGAGAATATGGGAGTGATTTGATGTATTTCCTTGCCTTAGAGTTATCTATAAATTCAAGATCCTCCTCCTTCTGGCTGCCAAGGATGTTGATGATAAGCTTAAGTTGGTTGAGACACTCTGTACCAGGGAAGATGGGTTTCCTGCCAAGAAGCTCTGCAAAGATGCATCCAACAGACCACACATCAATGGATGTTCCATAGTTGTCGCAGCAGAGAAGAAGCTCAGGGGCCCTGTACCAGCGAGTGACAACATACTCTGTCATGAATTGACCCTTGGCATTGCTTGTGCGTGCTAGTCCAAAGTCACAAATTTTAAGGTCACAATTTGCATTGATAAGAAGGTTTCCAGGCTTCAGGTCACGGTGGAGAATGTTTGCTGAGTGAAGATACTTCAGGCCTCGAAGCAACTGCAAGAAGAAGTATGAATTACTACCAAAAAGTACATAATTTTGTTATATTTGATTTCCTAATTACAAAAGAAGCATTAATGCAGAATTGCAGCACCTCCATCCCAACAAAATTATCTCAACTGAATCAGTATATAAAACACAGGTCAATATACGCTGGAAGTCTCTCTATGTCCAATGACTCTGATAAAGTGGCAGTCAGGCAGACACAGCTACATGGAAATATGCTTCCTAACAAAATCAATTTTGAATTACAGTATGCCAATATTAATTTGCAATATAAGATATCTATGCATAATCATACCAGACTCTGTTAGTGATGAAACTAACTATACTTACAATATCAGGCCAGTCCATTATGCTTGAAAGCTAGAATGCCTAGAACATGTTTCTCCTAAACCTATCATGAACTAGCTATCATCATGTCTGTCCCTAATTGTTGCCTAATACTGTTAAATATTAGAGATCAGTTAGCAGAAATGAACAATTTTCTCCATCAAAATGGTGCTCAGAGTTAATATAACAAGTGGACAGTGGTCCTACTCTGTGACAGGAAAATTGCTAGAAAGGTAAGCACATAAAACATCTAAACAAAATGTTATATAAGTGTACAGTGCATAATGCTATAAAATCATCATCAGGTAATGTGCTGGTAATACAAAAATCTACAACATAGCATCCAAATTGTAAATACACAAATCCAACAACTTGACCATTTAATTTCTTGCTTCTTTGTATAAACTTCGTTTAAGTGAAATGCAATGAAGTTTGATTTAAAGTTGATATCAAGGAATGCTCTGTTAATAAATCCACAACAAAATGTTTAGATCCTAAGCGCATTCATTCAATTTGGACCCTTTAGTTTCATGCTCCTTTATGTAACCTCCATTCAAGAGAAATGTAATGCCACATAGCAAGTGTACTTATCCAAATTAACCATATCATCAATCTAATAAATCAATTAACAATCTTAACAACCAAATATACATGCCTTTGCAAAGGGATTGCTAGATACCTGGAAGAGGAAATACTGACAGTGATCATCTGTAAGAGCTTGAGAAGACTTAATAATCTGATGCAAATCTGTATCCATAAGTTCGTAAACCAGATAAACATCCTTGAAGCTTCTCCTATGAATCGGCATCATGACATCTTTCAAAACAATCACATTATCATGTCTGAGATGCCTAAGTAGCTTCAATTCACGCAACGTTCTCAGCGCATCGACACGATTTTCAAAGGCATTGTGTATCTTTTTAATGGCAACTTTCTCATTGGTTTCCCGGTTCACAGAAGAGCAAACGATACCATAAGCCCCTCTACCAATAGGCTTGATGGGCACATATTTGATGTCGATTTCGAACAACGTTTGCCACATGGAATAGTAATGCTTTCCTTGGTAATGAATACCATTTGGAGGCTCAACTGGAGTTGCCATGTCCTGCTGTTACCAGAATTTTGCAAAGAAAGCCCCCCAAAAAACCCTGAAAAACGAGATTCTGTTATACACAAAACTGTGCTGAATAAGGAACAAAATGTTTCTATTTTGGTTTGACTTTTTTCATAATTACTTTCCTTATTCTTTTCAGTTAATTAGTGGAAGACGTCTACTTCATTAAACAATTAAAAGAAATTGAAAATAGTAAACAATTAAAGGAAATTGAAAAGAGAAAAAAGAGCAATAAGGCGAAAGAACACAAGGTAGAGGGAGATCTTTAATCTTTTACCTCTTTCGGAAAGTCCCAGCGATTCTTCTTTACTCCAAAATAACTGAACTTCGAATTTTCCCGCGATACAGAAGCATCACGCATCCGATACTCTCAGGCTAATCCACGTCCGAATTCATTTCAAATTTTTCCGAAACGAGAGTGAAAAAGTACTAAATCAAAGCTCCATTTTCTTCGATGAAAACCCTAATTCGAAAACGACGTCGCCAGGGACCGATCTCGATTCTGTGAACTCACGTGAAGCTCGACCGCCGAAACCTTTCACGGTCGCGAAAATTCGGAGAAGAAACACTTCCTTTTGCAACGTAATTATTTTTCTGTCAACGATGAGGTTCTATGGGATCTATTCAGGGAGGAAGATTCGTTATCTCGTCGCCATCAGAGCAAACGACGAAATCGAACAAATAATTAGGATTTTATTTTATTTTCTTAAAATTAATTTAATTATTATTTATTATTAGTAGCAGCATTATTTTGCCTTGAATAGCATTTACCAAGTGCCGGGTTTCGCTCCTGTAACGACAGCTACTGGGATAGTGGATATTTTGCAATTCATGTTGTGGGCCCGCACAGCAGTGGGCGAGGCGATCTTTCTATTAGATACAAATGAAACTGTTTGCGTACGGCGTCGTTTATGGTTTGCTGAAGCGGGAAATGATTCTGTATTGTTGAATAAACCATGGATATTCGGGACGACTGGCGCGCGAAAAGGACGTGTGGTTGAATTTGCTGACGGAAGCAGCAAGTGTAGGTGTTCCTCGCTAATTAGTTGCTTTGACTAATGATGCTAAGGCTACTGAATAGGGATTAGGTCAGTTGACGTCATATGACTAAAGTTAATTACTATGGTTTATAAAATTTAATTTTATTATTAAAATATTAAAATATCTATATTATAATAAAAATTTAAAATTTAAAATAAATTATATCAAAATAAACGCGAGTGAGAAAGTATTTAGATGCCGTGTGAACCATATCATAGTATAAAGACTTGTAAGATTTGAATTAAGAACTTTAACTTCTTTCATTTAAGAAAATAATTAATTAATACTATCCAACCATATGGAGTAATTATTTTCATAATGTGCATAATCTCTATAGTAATTACTACTATTAGTATCTAATTAATTTTTTTTGATATGACTAATAAAATTTATTAGTAATGAATTGATTTTTTTTATTTAAAAAGATGATTAATAGTATAGTTTTGATAGCGTTTGCGAGTTTATAACTGTATCTACCTATAGCATAATACACAATGTGTAGCATGTATGAATGGTATTAACTTGAAAGTCGAGGGTTCAAAATAATGATAACATATAATTAACTAATATAAATATTAAAGTAAAAAATGTAATTTCTTATGTTCGAGTTAATCATATTGATAATTAATAGTATTTTTTATGTTCAAATAAAGTTGTCACTTCTTGACTTTTAATTTAGAAAAAATTTCAAACTTTGGACTTTTTTATTTTTATGTTTATAATTGATAAAAATATAAATAAAATGTTTTTTAAAAACTTTGAATGAAGTAATTTTATTATAATTTTAAAATTTAATTAATTTAAATATTAAAGATAATAAAAGTCAAAGTTGAATAATTTTGGCCAAAACAAACTTAACAACTGATAACTACATTAAGATAAAAGAGAGTGCTATTTTGGACTATTGAGCAATTTTCAATGCAATAGTACATCTATATTATAAGCTCTCAAAA